TGAAACGTGTCAAGGAAAATGATCAGAAAAAGAAGGAAGCCAAAGAGAAAGGTACCTGGGTTCAACTAAAGTGCCAGCCTGCCCCGCCCAGAGAAGCACACTTTGTGAGGACCAATGGGAAGGAGCCTGAATTGCTGGAACCCATTCCCTATGAATTCATGGCATAAGCTGGGGAGGGAGCTCTGCCATTCAGCACCTAATGGGCGGCTAAGTGTATGTCAGGTCTTAACTCAGTGGTGTTTTTCTTGCTGAAAGATACTGCTGAGGTATTGTGTAGGTTATCCCAAAAGGCCGAATATTTATGAAATATTTATATTGGCTTGAAGATCCACTGGGGAAAAGATCACCACGGGGCAGAGATGTATCAAAATAAAATAGAGGTCACTTCAGTTAAATAAAGGGAAGTCATTTCAGTTAAATAAATTGTTTAAAGCAAAAAAAAAAAAAAAAAAAAGAATTAACTATATTCGAGCCCATGTTTATAGCAGCACAATTTATAATAGCTAGATCTTGGAAACAACCTAAAAGCCCATCCTTTGAGGAATGAATAAAAAAGATGTGGTAGTTTTCTACAATGGAGTAGTACTACTTAGCCATAAGAAGGATAAACTGGAGACTTTTACAGGTAAACAGCTGCAACTTAAGACCATACTCAAAAGTGAACACACATGTGTAAACATCGTACTGTCTCACTAGTGTGAGAAGCTGAAAGAAACAACATATGAGAATCAGGGGTTGGGGATTTAACTCAGTGGCATAAGCACCTCCTGGGCAGGCGTGAGGTAGCAAGTTTGATTCCCAATACCAAAAAATAAATAAGTAAATAAAAACTGAGAGTCTTGGTCAGACATGGTGGCACACCTGTGATCCCAACATTTGGGAGGCTGAGGCAGGAGGACCACCAGAGTTCGAGGCCAGTCCAGGCTGCATAGTGAGTTCAAGGCCAACCTGAACTATACAGTGAGAACTTGATTCCAAACAAAATGAGTCTTTTTTTTTTTTTTTTTTTTTTTTTTTTTTAAAGAACTAAGTCTAAAAACTATTGGCTGAATTTTTTGGTTTGTTTTGTTTTGTTTCGGTCTTTTTGAGACGGGGTTTCACTATGCAATTCAGGCTGGCCTTCAGCTCACTTTGTAGGCGACAGCAATCCTCCTGCCTCAGACTCCAAGTGTCGAGATGACAGGTGTGCACCACCACACCCAGCCTGCTGAAATGTCTGTATATTGCCACAAATATGTACTGATCGATATGTATATCAATTGATATGTTATATAAACCTTGATAATTGGTACATGATTTATTGAAATATCTAATTTACTTTTGTATATAGTTTGTTTAAACTACAAGCTCAGCAGAGTGGTATGTACTTCTAGTCTCAACTACTTAGGAGGTTGAGGCAAGAGGATGACCTGTGAGGGGCCAGGCTGGGCAACACAGCAGCCTCTCTTCAATAAACATGCAAGTAAAAACTAAGTACAATCGACCCACCCTATCTGGGAGTTCCACCACCCACCAACCATGGATCAATAAATATCTGCGGGAACCGGCATCTGTACTGAACACACACTGGCATTTTTCTGACCATTATTCTCTGAGAAACTCTGTAACAACTACCTACCTAGCACTCAAGTCCTCTTAGGTACCCTAAGTCATCCAGAGGTAAGTAAACCACCCTGCGGGTGTGCAGGGTGAGGCCACCTGCACTTAGGAGGCTGTGTTACAAAGTGACAGGCGCACCTTCAGAGTCTGCCTTCTCCTGGCTCTTGGAACCAATCCCCAGGGGGCTGACTGTCATTGGTGAGTGCTGATGATATATAAATACTGGATAGTTTTCAAAATGTTTCACTCAACTGGCTATCACAACTCTCCCGTAACTCTCTCCTTACAGAGTCTATGCTATTCTATGAAAATTACCCCTCTTAAGAGAACTTGAGTTCAGCTAACAACCAAAAAAAAAAAAATTACGGGGAGAGGGGGTGGAATAGAAGAACTGGGAGCCAAGATACCTCCCACGAACACTGGCCTACCTGCTGTGAAGACTCCATCTATACAGCCTGAAACTTTTCATTTGCTGAAAGATTTAGCAAGCATCTTCTTTAAAAATAACTTCTTTAAAAATAACTTCGTAGTAACAGTAGAGGTGTAAGTCACTTTCACATGGGTTTAAATTCTTTCTTCCCAACTCCTACACCACAGGAGTTCTGATCAACAAAACAGACCTAACTCATCGACTCTAAGGTGCATGTATTTTTCATTTTTTAGCATCTCTGACTTTGGGATGCACCTTACAACTGATGGCCTTGTAACTAGAAGATTTTCTTCATATATGTGCATAAAATCACGTTGCATCTTACAGCTCATCACAGAAAACATTTGGAAAGCATTTAACACCATGACTGACATGCTACAGGTTCCCAATAAAAGAAGCAAACACCGTGGGATGAACTTCACTTAATGAAAACTTCGAAGCAAAAAAGAAACAGGCTTCTCAATTAATTTAGGTGTAAGTCAAACCACCTACAGGAGACTAGGAAGACAAGAAAATCACATTGTCCATGCAGAATAAGAATGACAGCTGGCAAAAAGGGGAAGCCTGGAAAGGCAAATAACCACACACAGTAGAAATTAAAGGAAAAATCTGTGAAAAGTAAATAATTTCAGATTTAAAAAACTTATCTGGTGAAGAAATATGTGCCACTAGACTTCACACCAAAAAAAGAGAAAACCTATACGAACCAACAGCTGTTACATAAACTGAAAGGGTACTGAACGTCCTCTCCAGAAAGAAAGATCTAGGCCTCGACAGCTTCCAGATGAGGTCTGTCAAGTTGTCCGGGAACAGATAATCCCAGTGCAAATGGCTCCTGAAGAGGGGGAGAGCAGGGAGCTGCCCAGCTCAGCATAGGGCTCCCTTCTAACCCAAACACCAGATTTAGCTCAGCAGCATAAGCACCTGCCTTGCAAGCAGGCAGTTGTGAGTTCGATTCCCGGTACCGATAAAAAGATTTTAAAAAAAAGAACGAACTGCACCACAGGCTGTGGGAACAGAGGGAAGAGTCGGAATGTCACAAAAGCACAATCAAAGGGTTCCGGCTCCAGTCCCGACAGGCTGGAATAAGGCAAGGTCCGGGTTTGAGACTCAGCAGCAGTTACACACCCCAGAGAAGCCCAGCCAGCCAGGAAGACCTCAGTGTGAACTAGAAGTACCACTTCCAGTTATGCTTAAAGCAAGTGAAAAAATAAAGAGTCAAGGGCAGAAGAGAAGATGGAGGAGAGCCGGGAAATATTCAGACAAAAAGATCTGAACCTTCATGTCAAAGGATTAGACCGACAAAATGATCTCAAAACTGACCTTGGAGAGCACATGTTAAGGGGAAGGAGGAAGAACACAGAAGAGCAGCAGAGCACACACTAGTGTAATGTACAGAAGCCCCTTTTCTCCTGCTTCTTACTTGCCCTTCGCCACTGTGCAGGTGGCCAGGCAGCACTTTTAGAGACTCTCCCAGCTCACTCAGCAACAGCTCAGGTCCCCACTTGAAGCTCGCCTAATACTCTGCAAGCCAGTTTCAATCCCAAGAATACTTCATTAAACTCTGCAGCTCACCCTCCGTTAATGTCCCCCACTAGACATCAGGCTGCAGGAAGGAAAGGACTGTGTCCAGGGCTGGATCCTTTTGCCAGTGAAAGGTCTGGAAGAACAGAAGCCACAGAGAGGCACACTGTGTACGATGCAGGACTAGCACCTAGCTGAGTGCTTGGAACACCGTTTGCCTGGCACGTGCAGAGCCCTGGCTTCCACCCCAGCAGAAAGAAGGCTGGAGGAGTCCACATTCCATGTTACAGGAAGTCCAGAAAGGACTGAGAAAGAGCGCTTAAATGTGACTAGGCTAGGACTCCTGTGTGAAGGTGAAATCCAGGGCTAAACAGCAGAGGCTGGCCAGAGGTTTAATGCACAACAGCCACCAGATGGTTGGAGCAGAGACTATGGTACTTTGGGCAATTTCCACAGATGGGATTGTGAATTTTACTTCAATCCTGCTCTAGTATGCAGTTTCTCTGTAATGATCACATGCTACTTTTTATGAGAAAAAAAGTTTAAATGTTAATATGATTTTAAAAGGAAAACAGTTAAGTGGTGTGGTGACACATGCCTGCAATCCAGCACTAGGGAGACTGAGGCAGGGGCGTGAGCAGTTCCAGGCCATTGGGACTGCATGATGAGAGACAGCCTCAGAAGATGAAAAGAAAACCACAGCAGCACAAAGCCACAGCACTCCTAAAGATTTTCGCGAAGTGAAGGACTCTTAAGCACTGCACATTTGTACTTTTAAGAAATCAAAGACAATAGAAAGGGTAATTCATGAGCCATTACGAACGAAAATCAGAGAAAGGTGAAAAAAGGTTAATCAGTGAGAATAATAAAGGTTAATCAGTGAAAAAGACCAAAAATACAGTATATTCGTCCTTTGGAAAGAAAGACACAGGTGTTAAGAGCGACCCGGTGGGGGCGCTCGGCTGGGATGGCTCAATCTCCACAATAAAGGGGAGGGGGCAGGTGAATTCAGAAAATAGCCAAGGTTTAGAATGGTCTCCGCGCAGGACGTGAAGGGATCAATAACAAGAACAGAGCACTAGTTCTACTGCAAATGCATTCCGAATTTCAATCCACTTTTCACAAACTCAGCCTGTCCCTGGTCCAGAGAACTGCCCTCTTGTTTTTTAGCTTTAAACCCAAAAAGCTAAACTCCACTCTGGTTCACGATCTTTTTATTCCAACAACTGAAAACTGATAAGCATTAAGTCAGCCTCTCCTTTAATTCAAAGGTGAACTTCCCGCACAAGCAAATACGATCAAAGAGCTGTTTTCAACTCAACCAACAAAACGGAGATCACCTCCAGCACTGAAAAATGCTCCTTCGTGGAAACGCGTTCACAGAAAGTTTTGCAAAATTAAAACGCACAACCAAACACCTCGAAGGCCTGAACGCGATGTGCCCGAGTTCAAATCCCAGCGCAATGATCTGAGTGATTTAACCTCCTAGTATCTCAGTTTCCTCCTCCGAAACAGCGTGGAATCCGATAACCAAGGTTATCTGGAGGAGCCCGTGACTTAGCCCTGGTGCCAAGTTCGTCCTCGGCGTCCGGAGCGGAGCTGCTGGGCCGAGCAGGAGAAGCCCGCGACCGGCCTCACCGCGCCGGGGCGTCGGGATCACGACGGCGCTCGCTCGCTAGCTCGCACCCGCCAGCCCCCAGCACAGCGTATTATTTTTCTTCCCTGACGCAAGCTCTTTTCCCCGCTGTGCCAAACATTCCCGCTGGGTGTCTGGAAGGAGGCAGAAGGGTACGTGCGATCCAGCAGCACAAAGTTTTCCGAAATCCGAGCACGAATCGCCGCAGACACCGCCGCGTAGGCCTCGCGGGACGACAGGTGAAGCGGCCCGCGGCCCGGTCTCCTCCGTGGCCGCCGCCGCCGCAGGCCGAGCCCGGCCCCGGACCCCGCGCCGCCCGGACCCCGCGCCCGCGCCCGCGCCCGGCCGCCCCCCGCCGCGGCCCGCCTGAGTGCGCGGAACAAAGGGGCCCGCGCGCGGCGCCGAGCCCTCCCGGTCCCCGCCGCGGCGCCCGCGCTCACTCACTCACCCGGACGCCGCGGAGCTCATCCTCCGGCCTCGGCGCGCGGCGCGGGGCGCGGCGCGGGGCCCGGCTCGGCCTCCGCCCTCGGCGAGCTGCGGCCCGGCCCGGTCGCCCCTCGCGCAGCCGGCCGTGCGCTCCCCGTCTGGCGCGGACCGACGCTGCGGAGCCCGAGCCCTCCTGGCCGCCACTCCCCTCCGGCCGCCCCCGTCTGCCCGCGCCCGCGCCCGCGCCCGCCCGGCAGGCGGATTCCAATCTCGGCCGCCGTCGCCGCCTCAGCCGTAGCCGACGCTCGCATGCGGGGGAGGGGCGCGCGGTGCGGGCCGGGGGGTGGGGTCTCCTTGAGGGGCGGGAAGGCGCGTGCGCACTGCTAAGCGCCGGCCCCGCCCTCTCCACCCACCCCGGATACGAGGGGAGCCGAGCGCGCGGCGGAAATGCCCGAAGGCTCCGGGCTCCGGGAGACGTTGCAGAGGGGCTTCCCCTGGGCTAGTCTCTGGTCCCTCCGCCACAGTTAGCGGAGCCTACCGGTCCTGGGTCCCCGGAACCCCAGACCCCCAGGCTGCGACGCGTGCACCCTGTTCGGCAGCTCGCCTACACCGCAGAGCGCGGGGCAGCGGGCGCGATGGCACCAGGCCCCTGGGTGTGGGTGGCCGGACCATGCTGGTAGTGTTTGCCGCCAAGAAAAATGTGGTCCCACTGCATCAGGATCCCCACCTCCTCCCCATGAGCCGGGATCCCGCGCCCCAGCCCGGCCTGCGGGGGCTGTGATCTTCCAGCCGAGCCGGCGAATACATTCCTGAGGCCTAAGATAAGGAGCTGCGGGAGAGAAGTCAGCACGCTATAAATACAGCGCGCTCCACCTTCCCGCCGCCGCTGACCTCGGATACCCTCCACGGGAGGCCGAACAATGGTCGAGGCCGCTTTTCTTTCATTTCCCCCGCGCTCTTTGTGCAGAATGCAATTCGAGAGTATTCAGTGACCAATAGGTGAAGCAAGAGGAGATAGGTCGGTTCTTAACCAAAGTTGACCCTTACTAACCTCTTGGTAAGGGTTTCCACGAATGGATCACATTCCGTGGATTCGCTTTCCATAAGATAGGTTAAGTCTTTTAAAAAGATAAAAGGGAAGGAGTATACCAGTCCTTGCTGTTTATGTGAACACACAATCTTGCCCCAGGATGCTTGGGTGATTCTCTTACATGCTGGCATTAATGTTTACATTCCTTATTTTCTTTCATTGCTTTTGTGCATCTTTTGTTATGTCCCCTTTTCTCTTTAACCTACCTCTGCTTTTAATGCCTCAGACACCCTCTGTAATTCCAAACTACCTTTCCTGTGTTTTCCTTACTGATCCTGTCTGTGAGCTGGTTTGCTGGCTCAGGTTTGAGTCATGAGTTACAGTATTTTTTTTATAGTATCTTGCTTTGCAAGAAGAATATGATAGGAGAGATTTCGTTGCAGCCATTAAAATTTATCACTTCTTTCTTGAGTTTCCTACATACTGCCCTCCCTCAGTTTTAAGAGAAAGGGTGTATGTTTTGCTCAAAGAGGTTCAGCCTGATTGTCTAAAGATTGTATGCTGAGCCATGAGACAGGGCAGAAGAAGCCCCGCTGCTAGGCTTTCTGACACATCCTGCACAATAGCCAAGAACCTTAAGTTGGAACTCTAGCACTTCTGGCTTCCGAAATGTACACATTGGTGCTGTTGGTCCTGTGTAACAGGTCACTAAAATGGAAATAACACCGGGACATAGAGTTTTCTGTCCTGATATCATCTCTTCCTTTGCTACAAAAGAATCACCTTTTCAGACCTTTGGGAATGTGGCCTGGTATCCTTTGCCTCTCCTTAGAAAAGCTCACTCAATGCCCGGGCTTGAATCCTGAACATAGCACAACGGGCAACCTGCCTGCCTACCTGCCTGGGACCGAGCAGGGGCATGGTGTTCTCTGCCTCTTGGCATGTGTCTGCATGCCAACCTGCTTCTCCAGTTCGCCTGCCCACTGAGTGAACGGCAGCCAGGAAACCGAGGGAGACATCTGGACACGTATGGTCCGGCCCCTGAAGTGGCAGGCAGCACTCTTCCATGTCCAAGTTCCTGTTCTGTGTTCCAGCTGGTTAGCAGAGGGGCCAGGCACGGGGTCGGTCCCTGCACTGTGAGGTTCAATAAGAGAGGTAGTGGAACCTGTCTAAATCACGAAGTACAAGTTTGGAATGGGAAGGACCCTCTTTATGCAGTTGTCAGCCCCTCTGGGACACCTTCCGTGTTCACCCACCTCACATGGACACCCAATTATGTTACCTTGGTACCGTGTTTTATCATCCGAAATCACCTTGTTGATTCAATTTATGACCTGAGTCCCCCCTGCCCCCCAGAAGGTGAGGACTGCAAGAGGGAACTCTCAATAGGTTCTGAGGTCCCTCCTCAGTGCCCAGTGCCTGGCGTGTGGTAAGCACTGGGAGATTTGTGAACAGAGTGAGCTAGGTCAGGACAGAGTCCCCAGGGGCATCGCTGGGCCTGGTCCCCCAGACCCTTCTCATCTTAGATGGAGGCAAGGCTGTGTGGGAAAGGTGATGACTGGCCAGGCAATCCACGCACCACATCATCCCCAGGGAAATGGGGTGTCTGCCTTCCAAGTTCAATAGATTGATCCGAGCTAATCCATCCCAAGTCATTTTCCTGTTGTAAAGATTTTACAAGGCAAAGGCAGCACGGAGTCTCTGTGGCAATGGAGATAAGCTGGAGCCCAGTAAGGACAAGTGAAGGGCTGCCCTTGGCAGGTGACACTTTGGGTTGCTTTCACACCCAGTGTTAAATGGGTAGAATAGAGCCAAGTGTGATGGTATGTGCCGGGAGGCTGAGGCAGGAAGATCACCATGAGTTTGAGGCCAGCCTGGGCTGCGTGCTACGGTCAAAGCTAGGCTGAGCTACGTGGAGAGAGCCTGTCTCAAAGGGAACAGCTTCATTTTTCTTTTTTTTGCACAGACATTACCACTCTAATGCATTTCTAGAATGCAAAGCGTAATAGAAATAGCGTCCATGAGAAAGACGAATGTAGATAAATATGACTCAGTGGACCAGAGAAAAGCCGGAAAGCATGAATTCCCGTAAAGGTATAGAACTTTGCTTTGTTTTCTGTTTTTACTTCCAAATCACTGTTCTCTCTCGACTCTGCTGCATTTTTAACTTCGCTTTAATTGTAGCACCAGTGTGCCGTGACTGACAGCCCTTTCACAGGGGGGTGCTGCTGGCAAGTGGCCGCCCCTAGGCCCCAGTCCGATTCCAGTGTTCCCTTCTCCTAACCACAGACCCAGATGTTTCCTGCCTCAGCCTCCTGAGCGCTGGGATCACAACCGTGCACCACCACGCTCTGCTCTTTGACCCCCTCATAAAGGGACCCGCAGCCGTTTAGTACCTGGCCTGGTAATTTCCCTGGAATTCGGTTTTCTCTGTCTGTTGTCTGAACTCTGCCCCAGCCCTGCAACCTAGCCTGGCCCCTCTCATTTGCCCCCAGGTGTTTGCCTCTAGGTCCTCGGCGCCTGTGAATTCCACTCCTAGCCCTGGCCTCCTTTCCCCTAGCTCTGCGGGACTTTGGAGGCCTCCTGTACTGCGGACCATACCTGGCGTTTGCTTTCTGCTCCACTCAGTAGGCACAGTTCCTCTGCCCCAGCCCCATCAGCCCCTGCAGCTGGCCTGTCTCTGCCCTGACACCGGTGGGCTTGTGACCTCTCACACTGGGACTGTTTCTGACCAGATAAGCAGCATATATAATACATAATGCATATATATATATATATATATATATATATACTACATACGGTACTGAGTATATATAATGCCTGTATAGAATATAAAGTCTTGTGTATAAAATACTGAGTATATTATGTATAATGTTTATCTGATTATTAATAAAGCTGGGCATGGTGACAGACACTTGTAATTCTGCACTCAGGAAGCTGAGGCAGAAGGATCATGGAGAGTTCAAGATCATCCTGGGATCTTGAAAGAGTTCAAGGTCAGCCTGAACTGCACAGCAAGACTGTGTCTCAAAAAAAAAAATCTAGGCTGGGAGTGTCACTTGGTGGTAGACCACCGGCTTAGCCTCCAGAAAGTCCCAAAATAAATAAGTAATTAAGTGTAATGAGTATATTCAAAAAGACCCCTAATATCTATTCTTTTGAGGACTTAGGGGGGTCTTTTATTTGTTTTTTGAGACAAGGTCTCTATAGTTCATGCTAGCCTTGAATGCACTATATAGCTGGTGATCCTCCTGCTTCAGCCTCTGAGTTGCTGGGATTACCGGTATGCATCACCATATCCGACTCCTAAACACTGATTCTTCCCGAGAGCTCCTTTAGGCTGCTGTTCTAAATCCCAAGAACTGAGTCAGGAGCCGAGTATTCGAGTTTGGTGGCCAGTCATTGGGAGTACAGGTGCCATGGCTGAAGACTCAATCCGAGGTGACAAAGTCCCCGCCAGGAGAGCAGCAGCGTGAGCAGCCACCTGTCCCCACTGCCCGCAGCCCACACAGGTATTGGCTGTATTCCTGGGTGTGGCTCGGTGCCACCTGTGTGACCGGGCACACCGGTTCACCCACCGGCCCTGTCCTTTGCTGTGCATTGTCTGCCAGGAGCGGTTGGAGGAGGGAAGCTCGCAGACTCTGTCTATCCATCCACTGTGCCATTCAGGTTTCCTTCCAGCCAGCCCCTCTACCCCTGCTCAGTGACCACTGTTGCTGTAGTTACTGTGCTGAGCGTCATGGTTGCAAGGTTACAACTCCAGGGGCCACCATTCCTGTCCTGCCTGGGGTTATGGGTGCTTTCTGGAATTGTGTTTTGTGACACCTGCCATGACTCTTGCTAAGATTCAGGAGAGTACAGCTCAGTTAGACGGGGAGCCTGGTCCCCACAGAGATTTGTGAGTGTGTGTGTGTGTGTGTGTGTGTGTGTGTGGTGTGGTGTTAGGGACAGTGAACTAGGCCTCATGCACCTGTTAGTTATTGCATGAAGAATTCCAGCCTCCAAATGTGATAAGGAGGTTTGAGTACTAACTTCCCTGATTGGACCCATGCATGTTTACACGTGTTAAAACATTACATTGGACCCCCATAAATATATACTATTATTAATATGAATAAAAGTCTTTCAAAAGAATCAGGTTTTTAATTGTTTAACATTATATATCTTTTAGGACACTTGGCAAGATATATTTAAGCGTTTGTTAATTCTATATTACAAAATATGTGTACAGCTGGGCATGGTGGCTCACCCCTATAATCCCAGCACTCAGGAGGCAGAGGCAGGAGGATCTTTGTGAGTTCAAGGTCAGCCTGAACTACCCAGCAAAACCCTGTCTCAAAAAGACCAAAAAAAAAAAAAAATCCTCAATAACAAAATAGATGTACAAATAAATATGTTAAAAGGCAATATAGCCAGGTGTGGTGGTGCAGGCCTACAATCCCAACACTCGGGAGGCTGAGGCAGGAGGATTGCCACAAGTTCAAGGTCGGCCTGGTCTACATAACAAGATTCTGTCTCAAAAAAAAAAAAAAGGAAAAGAAAGAGAACATTGGGGCTGAGGGTGTAGCTCCATGGTATTTGCCTAGCAGGAATTCAATCTCTAGTATTGCGGAAAAAAATTATTTAAACAAAAAGATTGGAGATAAAAACAATAGCAAGAGGTGTATTTGCCAGGGTGAAGTTAGAATCCAACCCTGTTCATTTATGAGGTTGACGTGAATGTTGTGCTTTGTAAGAAGCTGCTGTGGTGGTGACAGTGCCTCAGACTAGTGAGAATCTATACTGCCTTTCATCTGATCGAAGATGCCACTGATTCCAAGTAGCCCCTGGTGTGAGGATAACTCAGACAGGCGTGGCCAGTTACACCACCTCACGTCCTCAATAGCAAGACCTCCCAACCTCAGACAGGTTCAAAGGGAAACAGTGAGCGTCTGTGGATTGGTGAGGTACAGTGTGTTTCCATGCATCTAAAAGCCAAGCCACACCTTCCAGCCCAATGGCTGGAAATGTTTGCAGCTTTTTAGCAAAAATAATAACAAGCAATCTTATCTGCTCAGCGTGATCGTGGCCACGCTCCACGTACACTTACTGCAGAAGCAGAGACAACACAGTTCGGCTGCAAATCAACACAGAGCAAAGGAGAGGATCGAGCCGCATGGAGCTTCAGGAAGACTTGCATCCAATCCCAGGTTTGGATTATTTTGCAAGTGAAATGTTAACTTTCTGACAGCTGCTCCTCCTGGAAATGTGTGATGATGAGGAGAGCTGAGTTTTAGACATCCACATGTGGCTTTGTCGTTGGGAAAGTCACCCTGAAAACCACGGGAAGAGTCTCCAGCTTGCTGGAGGCCGCTTTCCGTCTGTCCCGGAAGCTGAACAATGGTGCTTGTTGCTTTGAGACCATCAGGAAAAGGCAGCTGGGCCTTGCTTTCCAGTACAATTAATTGCTTCCGCTGTATATAAAATTGGAAGAATTGGGTGCTTGAGTGCGGAAAGAGGATATCCTACTACAGAGCTCTGGTTTCCTTGCGGAGGCTATTACTGAGCTCTTGCCCATTAATTCACTCGCATTGGATTATCCTGTGATGAAAGACCGCAGGCTTGTGATTTTTATAGTCCCTTATCTCCTACTTGTTCCGCACCTCTTTGGAGATACTGCTGTTCTCCAGAGACCTGCTAATTGCTAGGGTGTCAGGGTGCCTAATGACTGACTTCCTCGGCAGAGGCTAATTACGAGTCCCCTACACTTTTTCTTGGTAGGTTTGTGTATGTGTGTGTGTTGTTTCTCTTTCTCTTGTTTTTTTTTTTTTTTGTTTTTGTTTTGTTTGTTTGTTTTTCAGCTTTTTGGTTTTTGATTTTTTGAGACAGGGTCTCCCTCTGGAGTTCAGGATAACCTTGAATTCACTATATAGCCTGGGCTGGCTTTGAAATCATGATGATTCTCCTGCCTCAGCCTCCCAGGTGCTGGGATTATACCACACCCAGCTGCCTTTCTAGATTAGTAAAAATTAAAGCTCCTAAACCCACTCATTTTGTTTAGACCAAGGCAGTTTGGGCTGGCATCTGTCCCCAGGGAAGAAAGTTTTGGTGTCATGCAGAGCTGCAGTTTCTTGACAGCTCACTGCAGGCAGCGCCTTTGGGTTGGAAGATCTGCCTTCTTTCCACCCGAATCAGAGACAGCTGCTTGTTGGAAGCAGGGCTTCTGATCCCAGCACCCTGCACCCGGCTCTCACTAGGATCCAGGCGCTCAGGGCCCGGCCTGACGGGACTGAAGAGGCCTCTGGCTTTACCGCTGTGAAGAGAACCATAAAAAGAAATCCTTGTTTCCGAAAAGCACAGACATGATCCTACAGGCTTAACGAGGAGCAGCCGGCTGCTACAGCAAATTACAAACTGTCTAGCACAGCGCTGGGTGGACACTGCTGCAATGGCCCTGCCCAGCCCCAGGCAGCAGGTCTGGCTTGGCAAGGCGGACGCCATGATGCCTGGCTCAGGAGCAGCCTGGGCCCTTCCAGAACTTTCTATGTCCAAAAATGTTGATCTGTTCTTCCTTCCCTTCTTCCAGGAACTTTAGTCAGTGCTGAGGTTTTCTTGACTGCTTTTGCTTCCGTGCACCAGAAAGTCTCCGGGAGCAGGCTGAGCCGCGTGACAGGTTGGAAAAACAACTCTTTTGGACTCAGAAATTTGACTGTGAAAGTTTTTGACTTTGGGAGAAACTTGTCAGAAGTCAAGATTCTACATCTACAAAAATGAGTATTTTCAGTCTGATGGCACAGGCACAAGAGGAGCTGGGACCAGGACTCAAGAAGTAGCCAGGGGGCTGGGATGTAGTTCAGCGGCACAGCACCTGCCTGACAAGCACAAGGTCCTGAGTTCGATTCCTGGTGCCAAAAGTCAGTACACAATCAGCCCCTGGCTTGGCTTGTGCTGCCTCCTTCCTTCAGTTGTCTGGAAAGCTCTGGGTCCTGGTGTTTATGTTGCAGAAGAGAGAAAACAGCTGTAAAATGCTTAATGAGCCCGACTTCAAACACAGCCATGCAGCGCGCTGATTGGCACACAGTCTGCTCCAGCCGGGCTCCACAGTGCCCCGCCCCAAAAGCCCCAGTGCCACGGCCAAGTGGCCAGGCTGGACGGTTGGCTTGCCGGGCACACTATCCCAGCCAGTGGCTCCTGGGGCCTTGCCACCTAGCGGTGGCACTAAGCGTGAACATGGCAGTACACGGGACACCTCTGGGACACGGGGTTTTTATTAATGAGTGATTTTTTTCAGATGAGCTCATGCCCATGCGGGGTGGTTTGGCCATGGACAATTCTTTCTTTTTTTAAAAAAATTTCTGTTTGCGGCTGGAGATTTAGCTCAGCAGCATAAGCGCCTGCCTTGCAAGCAGGCAGTCATGAGTTCAATCCTGATAAAAAGGAAAAAGACCAAAAAAAAAAAAAAAATTCTGTTTTTTTTTGAAGACAGAGTCTGTCACTATGTAGCCCAGGCTGCCTTGAACTCATGATGTAGTCCAGGCTGGCCTCCAACTCACAGTAATCCTCCTGCCTCGGCCTCCCAACTGGAGGCTGATAAGGTTCATAAGAATTAGCTGCTTTTGTAAGGCCTCCAAGGAAAGACTCTGTGAATGTTTGTGGCCTGCACTCAACCCCATCTTCCTCTCAGTGTTTCTGATGAAGGTAACACTTCGGGGAGAAGAGCCGCTGAACTCCAGGATTTTATAACTGGTACCTGTGGGGAGAAATATTTCAGGGAAAGGCATAGATTCCACCTGAAGCTTGGCTTCTCTACCTATAGGGTTATGAAGTTTCAGTGAGAAGAGATACATAAAATCAATGTTTTGGGTTTTTTTTGTTTTGGAGACAGGCTCTTTTTGTGTAGCTCAGGCCAGCCTTGAACTCCTAGCAACCCTCCTGCCTCAGCCTCCAGAGTGCTGGGATTTCAGGCACTTACCACCGAGGCTTGAGAAGAGATACACAAAGCCCCAGGCCCAGTGAAAATAAAGCACGCAGGTGGGCATGGCCATATGCTTGTGCAGTCCCAGCTATTCGGGAGGCAAGAGGATTGCTCGAACCCACGAGTTTGAGGCCTGAGCAACACAGAAAGACCCTGATTCTAAAGCTAAATAAATAGTAGAGGGGCTGGGGATTTAGCTCAGCGGCATAAGCACCTGCCTTGCAAGCAGGCGGTGGTGAGTTTGATCCCCAGTACCAATAAAAAAGAAAAAGACAAAAATAAATACATAAGTAAATAAATAGTAGAGCACTTGTGTCCTTACTCCGAAGCCATGTTATAATCATGGGCCTACAAGTTAGGAGATGGCCCTGGTCATTTTCATCCGTCCAAGCTGCTCCCAAAGGGCGGGGTATCCAACTGCTGCCTAGGGCGTGCGCAGCACCCCATCCCAGACTGTACCCTAACATTACCACCCTTCCCTCCGTCCCACAGCCTGCAGGCTCCGGGTTTCCGTGGTAACCCTGGAAGATTAGGGAACCCCTCATTAGGAGGCAGGGCCCCGGAGCTGTCCAACCTTGACCACCGGATCATCCGGATTCACCCTCCCGCTGCAGGGCAGAGCTGGCTTCTGTTCCCAGCTGGCCCTGGACATCCAGCGCCGATTCTCAGTGCAGAGCAGGAGCTGGGACCCAGGACCACAGGACTCCCAGGTCCTTCGATGTGGAGGCCCAGGGCCAGCGCAGCTTCTCTGGAAAAGCGTGTGGCTTGGAGCTCCCTGGGGTGCAGTGGTGAATGCTCCAGGCTGCTCTAGGGCTCTGCCTGGAGAGATTCCCGAGAGAGAGCCCACAGGGCTGGGACTTAGCCCCTTGTGAGACCACTTGTTCCATTCTAAATGGACACTCAGTTTGGCATTGGACGTGACACCTTCTTTTCCTTAAAGTAGCACCACAGTGCTAGGCGTGGTGGTGCACACCTGTAATCGCAGCACACCGCAGGCTGAGGCAAGGGGATTGCTTCAAGTTTGATACCAGCCTGGGCTGCACAGTGAGACCTTGTCCCAAAAAACAAAAGCAAACAACAAAAAAAGAGAAAGAAAGAGGCCAGGAAGAGAAGCAAGAAGCCAGTTTACCCTTCCTGTGAGCCAGCTGCCCCCCAGAAGCAACTGGTGGGTTCAGAGGAGCACAGGCTGAGTTGATAGCAACCGAGGTGCAAAACCAACTTCATACTTGTGTTGACTGATTAACTTTGCAGGCCTACAGCCCGTAGTGTGAGCAGCTGTCTAGAGGATAATGATATGCAATATATGCAATATGCAATATAACAATATGGGGGGTCTCCTGTCTTGTTTTTGAAATCCGATATTGTTCTGTTTTATTGTGTCCCATTTTATTGTTTTGTTTTCTTCAATGTTCTGTTTTGAATGGTTTCATTCTGTTCTGGTTTGTTTCATTCTATTATGTCTGATGGGATGGGCAGTAATCCTGAAGATAACAAGAGACATTATGGGAGCCCTGGTTTTGTTTTGTTTGTGTTGGTTTTTTTTTTTTTTTTTTTTTTTTTTTGGTACTGGGAATCAAACTCATGACCTCGAACTTGCCAGGGAGGCGCTTTGTGCTGCTGAGCTAAACCCCTGGCCCAAGGCAGCCCTTTTTGATTTCCCAGTATCCTGTATCACTGTTGCTGTTTTGTTTTGATTGACTTTATTCTGTTTTATTTTGTTTGATTTTATTCTCTTTAAAGTAAAATTAAAAAGAAAAGAAAGAGAAAAGGTAGAAGAAGCTGCAGACCTGAGCCCCAGCCCCCCTCTGATGCAGCTCTGTTTCTGCAATGCGCCCCCTGCAGTTCCGCAGGAAGATACAAGTCCGGTGGGAAGGGACTCTCTGGGGTCTCTACAGAGGTGACCACGTGCAAAATAGACCCCATCACCGCTTCCTGCCACCTCTCTGTCTGTCTGTCCGTCTGTTGTTCAGGTTGGCCTTGAACATGCTATGTAGTCCAGGTTGACCGTGAACTTGGAGAGACCCTCCTGCCTCAGCCTCCCGCCCCAGCCTCCCCAGCGCTGGGATTACAGTGTGGGCCGCCATGCCTGCCTTCTGCCTCAGGTGCACTCTGCGTGCCACAGCGCCACGTTCCAAGTGCTCCATTACAAGGAAACACCAAAAGCACCAGCTGCTGGCTGCTCCCTGGCCCTCAGGGCTGCCTCCCCTTCCCGCATCAAGTGGACTTTGAACTGGGGTTAGGCAGGGGAGCAACTAATTTGCAAATAGAAGCGCAGGCCTAAGAGTGTACGGATGAAATGTCTCCATGTTTGAATAGAATTTGCTTGTGATGAAAGGAATCTCGTTCCGGTTCCAGCTAAGGGATAACAATCACAGCATTCTTCTGTCGTCTGGGTCCCAAGTCTCTCCAGTGTGAGGCCTCTACCTGTGGGTGGAAAAACCAAAGAGCATGCTCCAGTGAAAACACAAAATATTAGGTAGCTCCCAGAGCAGAATCTGGCTCGGCTGGGCTGAGACACAAGTGCGCTCAGAGTCCATCTTTACAGCTGCTGCTTGTATAAGGAGGGCAGAGAGACTAACGAGACAACTGTCAAAGTGTGCAAAAGTGCAGGGCATGGTGGTGCACACCTATAACCCCAGCACTGGGGAGGCTGAGGCAGGAGGATCATCACGAGATGGAGGCCAGCCTGGGCTACAGAGTGAGACCCTGTCTCAAAAAAAAAAAAAAAAAAAAAAAAGCAAACGTGCAGGGGTGTTGAGAAATATAAGGGGAGTCAAAGGCAGCCGCGTGCCAGGAGGGCTGGACGAGGGAGGTGGGCAGCGCCAGCACAGGGGGTCTTGGTGCAGCTTAGCTGCGGCCCTGTCCAGGGATCATGGGCAGCCATAGATGCTTGGCACCTGAGTCCACAGTTTGTCAGGGTCACTCTCAGAGGTGGGCAGAAGAGAAGCGGAATGGAGGGTGTACAAAGGCAGGAGCTGGGGCCTTGCACAGAGGACAAGCCCAGGGCCAGGGGCACGTAGCGACATGCCCGATTGCTTGTTGTCAGAAAGAGGGAAGGCGCAGGGTGATCCCCTGGTTTCCAGTTTCCATGACAGGGTGGCCTCTTTGGATGGCAGAGGGGTCACTGAGGGGAAGGGGCGAGCTGAGCCGGGCAGCACTGGGGACCCTACCCGAGGGGGACAGCTCAGGAAACCGCGTCTGCAGTAAATCACTGCTTTTGGATTTGGTGCTGGGGGTGGAACCCAGGGCCCCGTGCACAGCAGGCGAATCCACCCGCCAGCCCAATCCTGGTCCTTTTAAAGTTCTTTTGCTTTCGCCTCTTATTTTGAGGCAGGAGCTCACGGAGGGAATTTTGCTTTTCTTATACTGTGTGTTTAGATCCACACAACTTCCCGGGAAGCTGGGTGGCAGGTCTTGGGGGCCTCAGCTTCCCCCACATCTTGAATTCCTCCCAGGACATATTAATGAGGATTCTCCCAGTTGCAAGGGACAGAAAACCCTCCTGTATTTCTGTACTTTGGTGACACTAGAGATCAAACCTAGAGGGCCACCCTCCAGGCAAGAGCTGGCCAGCTCCTAACTGAAACAAGCTCAAAAGACAGGGTACATAGCCTTCTGCACGGTGCATCTGCTGAGCTGTGAGGCACAGGGGTGAGGTGGGCTCCAGGTAGGTTTGAATCATAAGATTTTCAAACGCACAGTGGGCCGACTGGAAAACCAGTTACAGCGAGCGGAGGAGCAGAGATCCCGCCCAGGGTGCCGCACGGCTTCCACGTATGAGACTGTAACATGGGGTGAGGGTGGTCTCGGCAAAGCCAAGGCTGACCCTGCAGGCCGTGGCCCCACCCCTGGCAGTACAGCCCACTCCCAGGATCATGCGACCCAGCACTGTCCCTTGATCTTATTGTGAAGTCTGGAAGTAAGTTCCCTGAGAGCGGAGGTTTTTATCTGTTGAGAGTCCTGTCTCGTCCCCCCTGCCCAGAGCAGGACCTGGCACCTCCTAGGTGCTCAGTAATTATGAGGTGACACAGTGAACAACAAAAAAAGGAAAGGAATGAGCTGGGCATGGTAGCACACATCTGTAACCCCAGCAACGGGGAGGCTGAAGCAGGAGGTTTCGGTGAGTTTGTGGTCAGACCTTTCAGGAAAAGTGGGGGGAGGGAATGAGCAAATGAACCAACAATTTTTTATTTCACAACTCTCAGATGAGGAGGGCAGAAATTTTGAAACAAATTAATGATGCCAAATTCTGATAGGTGTGGCTCAAGTTTCTGGGCTGTTTGGTTTTTTTTTTTTGTTTTGTTTTTGGTTTTCTTCATTGGAGACAGGATCTCACTACGTAGTCCAGGCTGGCCTCAAACTTGTGTGGATCCTCCTGCCTCAGCCTCCCGAATGCTGGGTTTACAGGTGTGCACGCCCAGCTGTTTCCTTCACACCCAGGCTTTGGGAGGCTTCCAGGATCACCAGGTGGTGTGAGTTAGCCCCACCTGGATGGATGGCAACCGGCGGTGTCAAAGTCCACCTTTATCCTGCAGCACCTGCCTGCCGGGCCCAGTGAGGAAGCCGCTTGGCCTGTGGGCGAGTCCTCTCATCTAGGAAAGACCTCGATGGTCACTTAGATTCCTGCCATTCAGTTTTCAATTCTATCATTCCGGGAGCCTTCTTTTTCTCCAACCTTTATTTTTTAAAAATTACTATCTCAGGGCTGGGGATTTAGCTCAGCGGCATAAGTGCCTGCCTTGTAAGCACGCAGTCGTGAGTTCAATCCCTGGTACCGACAAAAGAAAAAAGAAAAAAATGTTAAAAAATTACTATCTCTGTAAAAAGTGACAAAATAATGAGGTTTACTTTCTGTTTAGGTGAGATCTGATTCAGGGCCACCGCGCCTTCCTGCACCTTCCCCGCAGGCCGCGCTGCGTCTCTAGGTGCAGGGCGAACTTTCTATCCTCTCTTCTCCTCTCCTCTCCTCTCCTCTTGTCCTGAGCTCGCTCTGCAGGTCAGCTTCTCCCCCACGTTCACTTTTACGTTCTGGAATAAGCTTTGTCACTGCTTTTTGCTCATTTCCTCCACTTCTTTGTTCCGGAGAAGAACTTGGAACCTAAACCCAGAAGGAGAGGCGAGCAGCCCAGAGCTGCTTTTCAGAAGCAACTGCTGGACCAGGCACAGCTTCAGCCTTGTTGGAAGCCTGCTCAGCATGAGATCCCCGAGGGTGGGAAGGCGGGATCAAAGCCCCGGAGGACGGAGGACGGAGGACGGAGGACGGAGGATGGAGGACGGAGGACGGAGGACGGGGCCTGGGGAGCTCTCTCTTCTTGCTGCACACTCCGCTGGTGGAGGAGAGTGACTTGGGACCACATTTTCCAGCGGGACAGCTACCAGCAGGAGCGGGGCAGCCTGGCCAGAGCACAGGCTACCTGGGTCATGCAGGAAGTTTTACTTGTGTTCCTGCCTCCTGGCCCAGCTCACTAAAGCAAGAGGGGGGAGGGGGAGAGCAGAGGAGAGGAGGGGAGGGGTGGGGAAGGGGAGAGGAGGGAAGGGGAGGATGCAACAAGTCCATAACCTCATGGAACTGTAGGGAGGGAGACTTTCAGCGTGGGAGTCTGCAAGCAGATTTCAGAGTTTATATGAAAAAAAAGTGCGCAGTCACCTGTGTATTCCCTCAACCTGTCTTCCAGGCATGACACATCATAATGTCTGTCTTTAAATCGGAGATTGATCTCCTTAACAGCTCGACCCCAGCTCTCCCCATGAGTCAGCGCCACTCCGGGACCTGGAGAGAGAGAACAGGGCCGCACCAGGAAGCAAGCCTGGTCTGGGAACCAGCACCATGCTCGGCCACCACTGGACTGAGGCAGCCAGCCGCCAGCCCCGAGGAGTACCAGTCTCTCCCCGCCATCCTGCACTGTGAGTGACAGGCTGATGCAGGGAAACACAGGCTGTGCCGATAGCCAGGGAGGTGAACTGCAGCTGGATGCCTGTGGGGTTTGGTGTTTCACTAACATCGCAGGTCTAGGGCCAGTGTCTGGTCACGGGTTCAGAGGACAGATGTACACAGCGTGGCATCTAGCGGGGATCTCCTGAGGGTTGCAGCCATTGCTGTACCCCACGGTCTTGTTTTGGAAGTCTGTATGGTCTCTAATTTTTTGTTGGGTTGGGTTTTATTCTCTTTGTTTTGATTATGTTAAATCTGATGTCAGGAAAGCTGTTTCAAGGATGGCCAAGATATATTATGGTGGCCATTTTGGATTTACTAGTGGCTTGTTCTGAAGCCCTTTATTACATTCATTGTCTTGTTTCTATTCTATTCTGTTCTGTTTGATTTTTACTGTGTCTGAAGTTGTCTGCAGCTATTTTGAAGCCACCAAAAGACACTACGGTAACTGATTTTGTAATGTTTTTAATTCCTGTATCACTTACACTGGTTTCTGTTTTAGCCTCTTTAAAATAAAAAAATTGATCTTCAAAAATCACCCAAAGTCTGTTTTCAGCCCACTGTACTGGTCCTACTAAAAAAAAAAAATTTTTTTGTCTTTTCGAGACAGGGTCTCCTATGGAGTTCAGACTGGACTTGTGCTCACTTTGTAGCCCAGGTTGGTCTCAAGCTTGCAACAATCCTGCCTCAGCCTCCCGAGTACTTAAAAACTCAGTATTTAAGATCCTCTTTGTTTAATTACTTCCAAAAAAAAAAAAAATCAGCAACAACAACAACAAACCCTTGAACACCTCACCTATGTTAAACTGACTCTTGTTAAACAGGGAGAATCTTATTTACTTTAGAGGAAAACCCAAATGTGCCTGGGACGCTAACTGATACTTTTAGCAAAATCCCCTGCATTGCCCGTCATAATCCATAAATTACTTTATTTTTCTTATCCGTACCAGGGATCGAACTCATGACGACGCGCTTGCAAGGAATGTGCTTATGCTGCTGAGCTAAATCCCCAGCCCCAAGTTACTTTACTTATAAGAAGCTAATCAGTATGAGCAGAGGATCCTCCCCGGGAAACCTCACCCCTCATGGGAACGGCTCAGGCCCGCTCGGCCTCTCCCAGAGCAGGGGTGGTGTGCAGAGCAGCTTGGCCCGGCCTGAGCTGCAGAGCCCAGGAAGCCGCTCTGACCAGCTCCAGAGGCAGCCGGACGACACCGACACCGGGAGAGGAGCAGCTGGGCCTTTGGATGACGACAGGGACAGGGACGGAAATTCTGGAAATGCCAGCGACTGGAAAGCTCAGCACGGCAGATCAATACTGTTGATACTCGATCCCAGCAGGATTTGTTATGCTTAGCAAATAATTGCTTTACATGTCTTCTGCATTCAAAGGCTTCCACCAGCAGGGGGGAAAAAAGAAAACCTCGTTTCCATGTTCTTGAGATGAAAACACTTCATATTTTTTTTAAAAAGCCTGATTTAGGTTCCAAACTACGATGCTCTCTTTCCTTTTCCTTTTTTTTTGAAGTGGTGCTGGGGAGGGAACCCTGGACCCTGGAGTAGCCAGTGAAGCCTGACCACTGAGCTGAATTCCGTCTGTCCTCTTACTTCTAAGAAATACCTGGAAATGAGTACCTTGAAAAAGAACGGATTGGTTTTGTTAAGCGTAGCACTGCAGAGAAGTCCTTGTTAGTTTTTATTGTTATTATTTTTTTCTTTTTTCCGGTACCAGGGATCGAACTCATGACCGCCTGCTTGCAAGGCAGGTGCTTATGCCGCTGAGCTAAATTCTCAGCCCCTTATTGTTATTTTTGAGACACAGTCCCACAAAGTCTCTAAATTGCCCTGGCTGGGCTTCTAGAACATGTGATCCTCTTGCCTCAGCCTCCCAGAGTAGTAGAATTATAAGCATACATCACAAACTTGGCTTGTTACCTTTTAAAACAAACAAACAACAACAGCAAAAAAAAAAAAAACAGAGAAACTGAGTGTGGTGACCCAGCCTGTAATCCCAGCACTCTGGGAAGGTGAGGCAGGAGGATCACAAATTTGAACCCAACCTGGGCAACTTAGTGATTTAGGAAAACAGTTTCGAATTAAAAACATAAATTAAAAAGGGCTGGGGCTATGGTTCAGTGGAAAGGCCCTGGGTTCAATCTGCAGTACCACTCCAAGAAAAAGAAAGAAAGAAAGAAAGAGCCACAAGAGGGTTTACTCTGAGTTTATTTAGAAACAAACAAAATGAAAGGAGTACAGTACACTTTCTACATATGAAGCTAATTTAGAACAAAATAAAAATAAATGAATCTGAAATATTTGGCCACCAAGGAGTTAAATAAACCTTCCCAAAGCACACGCCACGTCCTGGCCTTCACTGCTCTGCACACCCGGAAACTCCTTCCGTGGGCGAGCGTTGGTGACATTCTCACATCTTTGTGGAATCTCTGCCGATGGACTGCAGAGCAGCTTTTGCTTGTGGCCACAGAGAAGGACGCTACCCCCCGTCAATGAAAACATCTCACACAGGAAGCGAGTATGTCCACATCCTTTCTGAGATTTATTTTACTAAAAAGTAGAATTCACACGGGCCAAAGGAGGGAAACATGCAAACCAGCTCTGTGCAGACCTCGAACACGCTACATTCCACTTCTGAAATCTCAGCCCCCCAAAAATGCCAAGGCAGGCACGCGGGGGGCGGAAAGGGATCACCCTAAGAAAAGCTGGCTTCCGAACACGGACACCGCAGACAGCAGTCGCTCAGCGGCAATCGGTCTCGCTCGTCCACGTTCCTGCCAGCAAGGAGACACAGACCCCAAGTGTGCCCCCGCCGTGAACCACTAAAGCCGGGGTCGCAGGACCCCACCCGGCCTTGATCCCGACACTGCACCGGGCACACAGGAACCAGGGGTCCGCCTTGAAATCCGCTCTGTTTTCTGCTCCTTTGCAACTGATTTTATTGCTGTTTTTGTCTTTCTTAGGCCGGGGTGAGGCTCCAACCTAGGCCATGCACACGCTAGCAAAGCGCTCTACTGCTGGGCTGAACCCCAAGCCCCTAAAATGTTTGTTGGGCGTAAATGAGAGTCTCTCTGTGTCTACTCAAGCTCTGGGAGGTGAAAAAACTCGTTCAGCAGAGGATTACAGTGAAACTTTCCTTTTTGTGAAACAAAGGTCTCATATGTTTTCCAGGCTGTCCTCAAACTCACAGTGATCTTCCTGCCTCAGCCTCCGGAGAGCTGGGATGACAGGCCTGGGCCACTCTGCCTGGCTACTAGTGAAGCTTTCCTTTAAACTATTTCCTTTTTCTCCTTAGGGTCATAAATACACTATTTAATATCACACGTGTGTGCAAACACATTAAAACCTTCAAAAAGAGATTCTGGAAACTTAACTTGAGGGCCCTGCTTTTTCCCTCGAGACCAGGCCCTGATCCCGCACAGATCGTTTTTGGAAAACGCCCGTGGGGAGCCTTTCTGTGACGGCAGCAGGCTCCTCAGGCCTGTGTGTTTCCAAAAACAACAGAAACCGGGCTGCTGGCTGGGGACGGTGGCCAGCTGGCTCCTCGTCCCTCGGAGAGCGGGGAGGCACTAGGTAGGGTGGCCTGGGAGCCCTCAGCAGGAAGCAATCGGATGCATTCCTAGAAATCGTTCCCAGGGTGCAGGGAGGAATCCAAAGCAGGATCAGGGAGCTGGAGGGGCGCCGGGACCCTCTTGGTGAGCAGCTCTCTACGGCTGCCTGCTGTGGGGCTGCTTTCCTCCCCTTGGTCATCTGCAGTCCCTGTGTCTCGGGGGTGAGAAGCAAATGCTGGAGCGTGGAGTCGTGGAGTCGCAGCCCCAGCCCTAACCCCATTTCTTCTTTCTTTCTTTCTTTCCAGACAGGATCTCACCGTGTAGTTCCGGCTGGCCTTGAACTCACTACGCAGCCCAGCCTAGCCTTGAACTTACGGCACTCCTCCTGCCTCAGCCTCCCCAGTCTGGGGATGACAGATGTGCATCACCACACCTAGCCCGCAATGACATTTTCATAGCAGTGCTTCCCATAAAGGAAAGTGGCTGTGTTGTCCCCAGCCTTGGAAACAAGGCTTCTCTCTTGTTCCTGAACAGCCCTACTGTGCTTCCCTAACCCAACTGTCACCTACGTGGTGAGCAGGCCACAGGCTCAGGTCTATTTCAGCACCTAGGGAAGAGCTGCTGGGGCAAGTCAGCTTGTACGTCTCCAACCATCTTGGCCCAAACAGCCAAAGCATCCCCACTCTTCCCCCCAGCAGGGAACACGGGTGTGCAAGGCGGGTGAACAGCACCCGAAGGGCTCTGGCAAGGACAGGCGGGCGTGGAGGAGAGGTCCCAGCAGCCGCTGCGGGCTGGCAGGGGTGAGGGCTGGGAGAGTTGGCCTGCTCTGCCCTCCTGTGCCAGGCTCTGTCCCTCTTCTCTTGCAGGGGGAGGGGAGAGGCGGATGCAAAAGTGATCAGAGGGCTTGGGGGTGACACATGCGGGACTCATGCTCTGAAAGCAAAACAAAGGCCAGATGTCACCCAGTCACAGAGGGGCAAAGCAGCCTTCCGGGAACCCCGGGAGTTTCCAAGTGAGAGAGGGGTGCAGCGGGGCCTTGGCAGGGAGCAGCTTGGGGACAGACGCCTGGCCCCTGGACAGCTGAGGCTGTTCCTGCAGTCCTGGAGCAGAGGTGGCTGCAGGACTCTGGGAGCGTAATACCGCTTCCTTTTTTGGTGAGGAAAGCCTGCTGGGGCTCAGCAGCGTGCGCTCAGCTGTGGCTCTAAAAATACCCCGCAGCAGGCTGCGCTGCTGGCACTGAATTTTGTCTGCTCCAGGAGCCCTGAGTGTTGCAAGGCGCAGCAGCGGGGCGCTGTGCCCTCCGGCTCGGTCCCTGCCCTGGGGACAAGGGCAGCACAGCCCCAGGAGGCTGCTCCACTGGGGCTCCCCACAGTCCTGCCCCCAGAGACACAAGTGCAGGTCCGGGCCTGGGAGAGCTGCGCAGGATTTAAAGCTGCATTGGGCTTCTAGTCTGAGCTGGGCAAACACGTGGCCTTTGGACAGAGGGGGGCTAAAGTGATACCCAACAGGGCCTGCTCACTCCCTGCCCCCCAAAAGAAACATCGTCTCTTCGACCCCCAGGTTTCCAACAGCAGAGCAGCCGGGCCGCGCCCGTGCCCATGCTTGGGCCTACACGTTGATGGCGTGCGCATGCTTCTTGCACAAGGGCTTGTCCTTCTTGGAGTAGAAAGGCTGTCCTTCCAGGTTCACGTGGCAGACCTGCGCGGAACAGAGCAGGTGAGACAGCAGCGGAGACTCAGGGATCCCCTGAGGAAAAGCGCGAGGGCTGGGCGTAGTCATCACAGTACTGGGGAGGCTGAGGCAGGAGGATCGCTGTGTATTCAAATCCACCTGAGCTGCAGAGTGACACCCTGTCTCAAAACTTAAAACTAAACAAAACAGCAAAAGCACTGCCACGGGCAGCCAGGAGAACACAAGATGGTTTTTCTCCCCACAGTGAATTCTTTTTTCTTTTTTTCCCAGAATTAGGACGCAACCCAGGACCTCACGCATGCTAGCCAAGCACTTTCCCACTGAACTACGTCCCCAGCCCTTCTGAGACAGGGTCTTGCTAAAATTGCCCATTCTGGCCTCAGACTTGTGATCCTCCTGCCTCAGCTTCCTGAGTAGCTGGGATTATAAATATGTATATGCTATCATGTCTGGCCCCATGATGAATTCTTTTCCTCTGTTTTTTCTTTTTCTTTTTTTTTTGGGGGGGGGGGCGGGCAGAGTTTCACTATGTGGCTTAGGCCGGCTTGGAACGCATTTTGTAGCCCAGGTTGGCCTCAAACTTGCAGGAATCCTCCTGCCTCAGCCTGTCAAGTGATGGTATGACAGGGGTATACCACCATGTCCGCCCCCATGACGAATTCTTAACAACTGAAGCCGATTACACAGGTTGAACCATCTGCTCACAAAGACTCCTGGTGAAGAACAGGGAATGAACTGAAATTGAAATTAATTGGATGGAACAGAATAGAGCCAACAGTACACAAGTAGGGTGTCTAACTCACTCTGCACCAAGTGTACCGGGAACCAATAGAGGCCACAAAGTGTCGCTTGTGAGAAGCAAACCCTGAAACAAATGCTAAGCAACAAACGCATCTGTGCACTAAGCAATCAGTGCGGCCGAGCTGACCGGAAAGGGCATCTCATGACCCTCGAGATGCGCTGGACTCCATCCACGTAGCAGAGTCCATAAAACCAAGGTCACCACAGCGACTCCCCCTGCCCCGCCTGACCCGGCACCCAAATACGAAGAAATGTCAGCAATGCCCCAAGGGTACAGGACCTACTCGTGGGTCCACTCCAGTGTGGGAGGGAATGTGGCAACTCGGAGCAAAAGCCACCGCGCAGTGCCACCCTGTGACTGGCGGAGGCACCCTGGAGAGTTTTATCTCACAGAAGCAGCACCACAGGAAAGGGGGCAGCATGCGTTCAGCAGGCGCTGAACACCACCGACGTCTCTCCCGGTGCAGGGGGGATGAGATACTGCTCGGGATCCCGAGACCTGAACTCGCAGGGACTGCATCACTCAGCTACAATCCTCCGCCCTTTGTATTTTGTAAAATTTAGCAGCAGCATCTTGCTAAATTGTCCAGGCTGTCCTTGAACGTGTGATCCTCCTGCCTCAGCCTCCTGAGCAGCTGTGATGACAGGGGTGTGCACTACCATGCCTGGATTTAAATAAATTTTTAGGGAGCATCTCTTTAGTGGGAAGCCCCTGTGAAAAAAAGATAAATCAAATATAGAAGCACACATAGAGAGAGGCAAATAACAAAGTAAAAAGTATGCATGCCCGTGATGATGGTACAGTTTTCCAGTTTGAGGCTGCAGACGGTCCAGAAAAAAAGGAAGCGGATGGCTCTTTGTTGGGGCTACCATGGATCAGACAGGGGGCCTGACACTGTCTCCATGAGCCCATTTAACTTCGCCAGCCTTAGGGGATAGCTATGCCTTTCCTCCGTCTCACCATGAAAAACTGGGCTCCGAGAGCCCGAGTGTTCTGCTGAGGTCACAGACTCTTGGAGCCTAAAGCCGGGAACCTGTCCAGGGCTGTGATGATCACCTCCCACACCCCAAAGCAGAGCTGCGCTGAGGTGAAGATGTCCAAACCCACAGATCTGCAGACATGGCCCCTGGAGCTGTGTGTCAGCGCTGGCTAAGAAGTCACATCAGTCAGGAGGCACCCGGCCTTACAGAGGACCCCGAGCAGCCCCTGGGGAGTGGAGCAGGCTGCATCCAGGATACGGAGAATACAAGAGTGGGGGTCCCTGAATGCCGTGGCCACTGGAGGAGAAATCACCCTCCCAGCTGAGCTGGATCAGCGACCACAGGTCCACTCCACAAGGACACTGGGACAGCTGCTCTAGGGTCACTCCTGGAAGTCAACAGGGCTGCCCATGGGCCAGGGACACTAAGCAGAGAAAGTGTCCCAAGCCATCCCGGGCAGGTGAGCGCTGCCGAGATCACCAGGGGCAATAGCTCGACATGGTTTGTTTCCTGACGGTTCAGTTCATGTGCTGGAGGCCTACTTCTCAACATGGTATCACTGTGGGGAGGACTCTGAAAGGGATTAAGATATTTCTCTTTAAATTTCTCTTTGTTTTTAGTTTTCAGACAGGTTCTTGCTATGTAGTGCAGGCGGGCCTTGAACTCACTGTGTAGCCTACGCTGGCCTCAAACTGAAGCTATCCTCCTGCCTCAGCCTCCCAACGGCTGGGATTACATCTGTGCACCACCATGCCCTGCACTGTGAAAGCCTGAGCCTGGTCACACCCAGGGTCTCCCTGGCTTCCTGTATCAACTCCTGTGTGTACACAGGCAGTGTCACAATGGGACCCTCAGCAGAGCAGGGCCAGGGCCAGCAGCTGCCCTGGAGCCTCAAAAGCCATGTGTTAAAGAAGCTACTTTTCTTTGCAATGCTAGTCTGTCCTGGGGATTTTGTTATAAGCAGCAAAAAGCTGATTATTCCACCAGGCTCCTGCAGAGGCCTGTACCTGCCGGTGACAGGCAGGAGATGAATCCAAGGAGGAGGACACCCCAGACTGGACTGATGGCCACGGGCATCGGGGGATAGAGACACAGCTCTGGGTGAGGTGGCAGGAGCTGCCCACCCACAGCCACGGCACTGACTGCCCTGGTGGTCCCAGACCTTCGGGACATGTCATGTGTGCACTGAAGACCAAGGAAGTAGAGACAGTAGGGCTCAGAGGTGGCCCATGAGAGAGACGGGGCCAAGGGCAAGGACAAGGGGAAGGGATGGTGCTCGGGGGACCGAAGGACAGTCCACGCCGGGCCAGGCGGTGCTGGGCAGGGTGTCACTTTGCCAGCAGCCCTGGGGTGGCTTTGGAGGTGCACAGCTGGTCTTTCCTATTGCCTTCACTCTGAGGGCACCACCTGGTATCCATGTCACTGTCGAGGCCTACGAGGAAAGGACAGACCAGCAGGATCCAGAGCTCCTCCACCAAGACACAAGGACCAAAGCCAGCAGGGGCCGGGCATCGTGGCACAAACCTGTGATCCAAGCTCTCGGGAGGCTGAGGCAGGAGGACTGTCACAAGTTCCAGGCCAGCCTAGGCTACATAGTAAATTACACAGTAAGACTCTGCCTCAAAAATTAAACCAAAGCAACCCCCAACAAGCAAGTGACTTAAAATGTGGTGTGAGACAGAGGAGACATCACCTGCAGAGAATTTTAGACCAGGTGCAGCTCAGTGGTGCAGAACTTACCTAGCATGCACAAGTCTCGGGTTTGCTCCCCAGCGCTGCTAACAAACCAAACCAAACACAACGTTTTCCAATCAAAGGGGTTTTCTTCCAAGATTAAAACTGTGTTGTACTTGCAATACCTCACCGGCCCAGTGACCTGCACCGGGCTGGCTGGAGGAGCCTGAATGACCACCACAGTCTTTGGTGGTCATTGTCCAGTGGATGGGATCTGCCCAATTCTAAAATTTGTATTTCTTTTATTTTTATTTTTTTAATGAATGCATTTATTTTTGAAATAGTTTCACTATGTGGTATAGACTGGCCTTAAAGTCATGGTGATTCTCCTGAGTGCTGGCATTACAGGCATGTGCCACCATGCAGCCTTTTTATTTGTGTGTGATAGAACTGTAGAGGGGAGGAAGAGGAGGAGGAGGACTGGCGGTGGCTGAAAAGATAAGAAGTATAAAATATAAGTAACCTCTATTTTGGGAATGCGGGGAGAGACACCCCCGACCCCCTGGGGCGTGGCATCTCCACCCGGGGCCGGCGATCTCTCCGTGGAACACGTGGAGTGAGGCACATAAGTAGCCTCGGCCTGGGGTGGAACCTAAGGGGGGCATTAGGGATGCACAGGTAGCCCATTGGTCTTAGTTTGGCGCCAGAGGTAATTTCTAAGGGTGGGGGGAGATAGGAGCTCCTTGGCTTTGCCGGCTACAGTATCCGGCCTGGGCCAGCAACCCTTTCAGTGTGTGTGTGTGTGTGTGTGTGTGTGTGTGTGTGTGTACAAATCCACTGGATTATGCTACAGGCTCAGTCCTTTGCAACACCGGGGAAACCACCCACGTCCACGTCCTCCTGTCTTTCATCCCAGGTTGTTGCAGTCACCAATCTAAAAACAATTAGAATCAGGACACAGAATTTATAATATTATTTATGATGGTCACCCAGAGTTAACACAAGAAATGCAGGAAATCTGTCCACAACACTAAAGACCCAGAATATTCAGCCAAGGGCCTGGATCCCACTGCAATGTCCTGCATGAGTCCAACTGAAAACCTAGAGCCCATGACAATGCCTCCCACGAGTCCAACTGGAGGTCTAGAGCCCACGACAAGGACTCACATCAGTCTGTTTTATAGGTCTACACTGGGAAGGCCCAAAGGTCAGTGATGGAAGGTAGGAAGTCCATGCCAGCGGGGTGAAGGAGCTGTGCGGGTGGGTTGAGAGTTCTACACTGCAGCTGAGAAGTCACACTCACAACAAAGACCAGGGCTGTCCTGAAAGGCACCACAGCCATCCTCAGCGATACAGAGGTCCTAAGCTCTTCCAACAAAAAGCACAGTCGATACATGCTAGGAAGCCAGGGTGACAAGCTTCTCCTGGAGATTAAACAGCACACGTCTTCCCCTCCAGAGCCAGGAAGCGATACTGGATGTAAGGACCAGAGCTCCCCAAAGTGAACCACAGCCACTCTCACCAACAAGGTCCCGAGCTCCTCTGATGACAAAGGTCAGACTCACACTGGGGAAGCTAGTCATGACGAGCTCCTTCAGAACCAACAGCTCATACAGCAACGCTTAGAGAAACCCAGAACGCCTAGCTCCCCTTCTCCACGTCTCTATTTATGCTGGCAACTTTCCTCAGCTGGAACATCTACACTCAGCACCATGCTGGTTTAATTCAGCTGGCGTTAAGTTGACCACCAGTTTTTAACCCGTAACACAGGCCCGTCCACCGTGACTGCAGCCTGAGCACAGTGGCCACAGGCAGGGACCTTCCCTCACCTGGGCCTCGCTTCCCACTCTGGACACCCCCAGCCCTCAGCCCCTGCAGGCCAGGCCTCCAGCGTTGTCTGCCTGGGGCTCCTCCAAGTCTCACAGATCCTTCTAGCAGTCAGGTAGACAGACTTGCAAACAAAACCTCAGGCTCAGACAAGTCCAGGCTTGAAAGCGCCGGTCACAGCAGGGAGCCCAGTGCTATGCCTGGCTGGGCCCCGGCCCTGCAGGAGACTCCCCTTATCTTCCTAGTTGGAAGATTGCACCACTGTGCCTTTCTGGAGTGGGGCTCAATGGACTAACAGACCCTAAAAGGCAACTCAAGACTCTGAGAAATCAGTGTTAAGGAGTTGAGCTGAATCCCTCAGAATGTGTGTGTTGACCCTGGACATGGAGGTGTGCACCTGTAAGCCAAGCACGGTGGCACACACCTGTAATCCCAGCACTTGGGAGGCTGAGGCAGGAGGATCGTCATGAGTTGAAGGCCAGCCTGGGCTACATAGGGAGACCCTGTCTCAAAACAACCACGGTGAAAAGCAAAATTAACAAGAAGTGTGCACCGATAGGAAGGGAGATGGTTGGAGCTCACAGTTTGAGACCAGCTGGGCGATGGGGTAAGACCCATCTCAGATCCACAGCCTGAGGTCCTGAGCCCCAGCTCCCCTGCTCCCCAGATCCCCAGGTCCCCGGCTCATGGACTCGGCAGGGACTTAGTGGAAACAGAATCTTCACAGAGGGAATGAGCTATAGGTTCAGACAAGGTTATAGCCAGTCATGGGCCTCTCATCCTGCAGGATCCATATCCTTCTGAGAAGAGGGCATGCACAGGACAGATGCACAGACATGCGGACAGATGTCACAGAGTGCGAGGAGCGCTCAACCCTCAAAGGCAGCAGAGAGAGCGGCCACCTGTGGGCCTGGATCTCAGACCTCAGGCCCTAAATCACCAGATAGTGTATCTCTGTCACTCGAGCCATCGTGGTGAGTCACAGGGGACTTCAAACCAAGGCCCAGAGTGAGCCTGCTGCGTCCCCTCGTAGCGGGGGTATCAGGGTGAGGTACGGAGACGACTGCACACGGCGTGAAGCTTGGCAACCCAGCTGTCCTGCGTCATGAGTCTCTAGAAGCTTGTTCAAGTTCCTGCACAGATATTTCACACGTTCCCCGAATTTACTTTGAGGGTCTCCAAAAAATAAACTGGGTGAGACTGCATATACCCCGTAACCTCAGCACTTGGGGGGCTGAGGCAGGAGGATCACTGTGAGTTTGCGGACAGGGTCAGCCTGAGCTACATGGTGAGACCCTGTTTCAAAAAGAAACAACATATAATAGTAACAGCCAGGCATGGTGGCCCTTCCCTGCCATCCAGCACTCAGGACGCTGAGGCAGAAAGAGCTCCTGGAATCCAAGGCCAGCTCAGGCTACGTAGTGAAACCCCATCTCAAAAAAGAATTGTTTCAAAAATACATGGTCCATTAATTTTCCCCAACAAAGTTAAGTCAGGGGCAGACTACTAGGGGCCCTCTCAGGATACTAGTCCTCCTCATGTGGGAAGCTCAGTCTCGGGTCCCCACCCCACCGCAGTCCCGGACTCCACGCAGAGCGAGGTGGCCGCTGTGCATCGGGAAACCCTGGTAACAGTTAACCAAGGCTCAGGGCTCTGCAGCTGTGAACCAGGAGCAGGGCCACTCGGGAAAACGGACCGATCCCCAGGCCTGCTTGCCGAGCCGTCCAGCGAGAGAGACCTTATCTCAGCTTTTCCCGAGATTCCTCAGGAAGCTCCAATCAGGGTGGAAAGACCCTGGGCTCCCTTGATTATTTCTCTTTGCTCTATCTATTTCTCGAGACAGGATCGCACTATGAAGCCCAGGCTGGCCTGGAACTCCTGGCGATCCTCCTGCCTCAGCCTTCTGAGTGCTGGGATTATAGGTGTGTACCACCCAGCAGCTTCCTGATATCTGAGGCAGCCTCAGCTGCAGGAGGCCACCTGCCCCTGCTGTTTAAATCCGGCATCCTCTTCTGTCCCTGCAGGGGATCCCGTGCTTCCAGAAACGGATGTGACCAGCCAAGGTGGGCGCTAAGTACCCATCAGTGACACGTGACGGCCCCGGGGCGTTTGCCAGCTTCTCGAGGTGACCGCTGTGTCCCAAGGTCCCCTACCCCGTCCCCTGCCAACCCTGGCTACTCACGTACCGCGCAGATGAAGCAGGTATCGTGCCAGGTGTGCCCCAGGGCTTCGATGAACTTGTCACCTGCCTCCACGGGGAAGTCACAGCCATGACACTTGGTGCTGAACAGGTTGACGTAGTCTGGAAGAAAGGGCAGAGGAGGCAGAGTGAGGCCCAGATGCACAATCCCCAAACGGGAAAAGGCCAACGTTCAGGAGGCTGAGGCAGGAGGCTGCCAGGAGTGCGGGGCCAGGCTGCGCTGCATAGTGAGGTCAAGGCCAGCCTGGACTACGCGGTGAGACCCTGGCTCAAAACACCAAAACCAACAAGAGAAGCAAAAGCAAACCAAACCGAATAATCCCGATTTCCCAGCAGCTACATTTGTGCGGGCCCAGCAAGGGTCCTTAGCTTGTTAAGGATTCCAGAAAGTTCTTTGCTGACCGTTCTTCTACCGTAGGTGCTCATGTTGACAGCAGCTCTCCACCGACACAGACGGGGCCTGGGATCCTTCACTGGGCACCCCGCCCTCGCACAGGAGACGATGCTGCTGAGTTCTGTCCGCACCGTCTTTTCATGTGGATGGTGCTGGGGTTCAAATGTGTCCACTCTCCTGAGTCCAGTCATTATTGAAGGAGTGGGCCCTTCAGGGTAGGACTGTCTTTCTTTCTTTCTTTCTTTCTTTCTTTCTTTCTTCCTTCCTTTGGGCTTTTGAGACACAGTCTCACTATGTAGCTCAGACTGGCCTTGAACTTGCAGTGATCTTCCTGCCTCAGTCTCCTGAGTGCTGGGATTACAGACGTGTGCCATCACATCCAGCTAAGAGGGAGTTCTCATTCAAATGACTCTGACCCCTCTCACACTTTCTGCCCTCAGCAGGGACAACCCAGAAGGAAGCCTTGGACTTCTCAGTGGAGGCCCAACCACCGCCTGTTCACTGCTGATCATGGGACCTCGGGTGCCCTGACCCAGCAGCCCCAGATGTACTGAGGCGGGTGGTCTCGTTCACGAGTCTCTCATGCCAGCAACCTGCCTTTCTTTTCTCTGCTCATGGAGCCAGGTCTCACCACGGAGGAGTAAATGGCCTGGTGCACCCCCATCATAGGGCTCCCTCCAAGGGGCTCTGGGTTTGCTGGACGCCCGCACTGTTCACCCCGCCTGACTCGGTCTCCAGGTCCTTACCTACTGCCACCAGCCTTGTGTTTATCTCTTGCACAGTTTTCGGACCTTTTGTGCTCAGGAGTATTCGGTCTCCATCTTGTCTAAATTGGGAGCATCTAACTCGTCTCCGACATGAGACTGAATTTCTCCAATAGGCAAACAAATCGCATTGCCCGAGCTGCGAGGTCACACTGCTGGGTCAGGAAGTTACAGAATGTGTAGGCTTCCCGCCGGGCTGCTGCCCAGCCCATCTCCACACAAGGCCAGTCCCTGAAAGCTGCTTCTGATTTATCTCTTAGCATTCCCTGTCAGTCTCCACACACTCGGCTCTCTCACACCTCCGTGCCTCCGTATCAATGGGGTCCTGGGTTTGGAAATCCCTCCCATTATCTACCTGAATTTTGCAATCCTCAGGGTCAAGCCTTCCCACTAGGAAATCCTGATGCCACCCCCTTGAACCAAGAGAGATGAGATGGCCTTACTGAGAGCTTCTCCTAGGCTCCTCTCGTCTATCCATCCATCCTTTCATCCATCATCCACCCATCCACACTTCCACCCATCCCTCCATCCATATTTCTATCCATCATTCTTCCATCCATCCATCCATCCATCCATTCATCTATCCATATTTCCATCCATCCTTCCATCCTACTTTCATCCTTCCATCCATCCAACATCATCAATCCATCATGTATCCACCAATCACCATCCATACTGCCTTCCTTCCACTCATCCTCCCATCCATCCATCAGTTCATCTTCTATCCATCATCCATCCATCCATATTTCCATCCATCTGCCTTCATGAGTGCTCACATCCATGCCAGTGTAGCCCATAATGTTCATGTAAGGGTTTTGAGGGCAGAGAGACCGCCATACCTGCCTCTATGCTTGGGGTTTCCGGTGGGAACCAACATGGCACACACATTCAATGTGCATCTCATGTATAAATGATGAACAAAATACAAGGACATGGCTGGGCCAATCTTCCTAAGTACTGAGTTGTTCTCATGTCAAGCTTGCACAGATTTAGCCCTTACAGTGGCTTCACGCTATCTGAGGACATCTGTTCCTGCCTCTGATTGATTTTTCTATTTTAAGCTTGATTTTGTAGTGACCAGGAAAGCTGCCGCTGCTCCACAGTTAGCAGCACAAGTCTGCCCCCTGGGAGAGCTGGGATCCGTCTGCATTTGGCTCTGGAAGGTGCAGGCTTTGGGTCCTGGACTGAGTCTGCGTGTGCCCGAGCCCCGGCCAGGGCACCGCCAGGGCACCGCCCAGCTCCGAGGTTATTTATTTCTTCACCGGTTCCTCCTTCTGCTGCTCCTAGCTTCCTTCAGGAACTTGGTGCCCTTGTACTTAATGGGTTTTATTGCTACTGTAGGATTTCCTGCCACCGAATCGCAGGTGCTCCCTGTTGAAAAAGGTTAGTGCTTCTCAAAGACCACAGTTACATGGAGGGTTTGTTAGAACATGGGCCACCAAGCTGTACCCCGAGTTTCTGATTCACAGAGCTGGGCTGGAGCCCAAAAGGCTGCTTTTCTAGCATCTTCTCAGGTCATGCTGCTGCTGCCGCCGCCGCCAGCCCTGGGGCAGCATCGAGACACCCGGCTCTGATTTTTAGCCCTGACCGAGCATCAGAACCACAGGGCTACAGCAGCGCCCCTGCGACTCAGCACCTGTGGTCCGGGATTGATCTTCGATCGGTTTTAAAGCTCTCTGGGGACCCTGAGGCCTGCCAGGCACAGCAACAGCTCGGAAACTGCAGGGCTGACCTTCCCATCTGGTGCACGTGTGTCTTAGGGAAAAGTGGCCACGGAGTCCTGCTGCCATCTGACTCCAGCATTTGGGCTCGAAGTGCAGATTTGACAGGGTCCTCATCTGTGTCTTCCTCCAGCCTTGGCTACAAAATGAGTTCAAAAGCCGGGTGTAGAGGCTTGTGTCTGTAATCTCAGCACTCGGGAGGCTGAGGCAGGAGGATTGTTTCGAGTTTGAGACCAGCCTGAGCTACAAAGTGAGTTCAAAGCCAGCCTGAACTGCATGGTGACACCTTGTAAATAAATAAATATAAGGGCACCACAGCAAGCTGTCAGTCCTTACCGTTCAGGATGGCTGCTGTCTAAAACCCAGAAGGTGACATGTGTCTTTGTGGAGTATGTGGAATGCTTACCCCCTGCTGGGATTGTCCCAGGGGCAGCCACCATGGAAAGCCCAGTGGCGGCTCCTCAAAAATCAGCAATGCAGTCTCCACAGAACCCAGGAACCCCACTTGCAAGAAGAGCCCCACAATAACCAAGAGACCATTCACAAGAGGCCGGGGTAGAACCAGGCATCCGTGCGTACAGATGAGTGCAGGAACCAGGCGGAGCAGGTTCCTATTAGCAAGTGTGACCCGGCCTTCAACGGGACAGAAACTCTGGCCGCCACGCCAGGCCTGGATGAGTCTTCAGGACGTGAGGCCAGGGAAATACGCCGGCCATAGACAGACAGACGCTGTGCGTTTGCGTGAGGCCCTAGCGTGGCCTCACTCACAGAAACAGAGCGTGCAGTGGGGTTGCCAGGAGGTGAAGAGGGAGAGAAAGGGAAAGGTTACGTGACAAACGGCCTCGGACGCTGCTGGAGAGTGTTTTCACAGCAGTGACGGTGACCATATACTTAACACTACTGAGCTGCACACTTAAAAGGGCTGAAATGGTAAACGTTACATTGTGCGTCTGTGTGTGGGTTTTTGTGTGTGTGTGTTTTGAGACAAGGTCTCTCTATAGTGCAGGCTGGCCTTGAACTTGCCGTGACCCTCCTGCCTCAGCCTCCTGAGTGCTGGGATTACAGGCGTGTGCTGCCAGGCCCAATGGGGCTGTTACTTGAACCTCTGTCTAAGCTTCCGGTGGGCCCTGCCTCAGCTCCCTGGGGATGTGGGCAGGCCGTGGGTGGGTGTGAACAGCCTGCAGACAGGGACCCTGGCTGTCCTAAGAATTGTGGGTCTCCACACCTTCAGGGACTCACTGGGCAGCCCCAGCATCATATGCAGGGAAGCTGAGCTTGTGGCCAGCAAGGGAGACAGCTCGGTCCCTTCCTTGTGTCACAGCAGTGCCACTCTGCCATAAACCGAAGCCAGAAGCCAGAGCCGGCTGCTGCTGGGCTGCGGGGAGCTTACCCAGCATGCCTGAGCCTCGGGTTTGATCCTCAGCACCCAGGTAAAATAAAGCACAAAAATCCCTTCTTAGCTTGCACGGTGGTGTGCACCTGTAACCCTAGCAGTCTGGGAGACTGAGGCAGGAGGATCGAAACTTAAGAGTCCAGCCTGGGCCACTCAGCGACTTAGAAAGAGACCCTACGTCAAAACTAAGAAGGGCTGGGGACGTAGCTCAGAGACAGAAGCGCCCGGGTTCCCTGCCCAGCACTGCCAGAGTCAAAAAGAAAACAGCAGGAACAGTAGTGGGGAGCGGAGGGCTGAGCGCCCGGCCCACGGGTGGGCGCCTCCTGCCTACCTTTCTCGCAGTAGGGCTCGCCGTCCTCCATGTGGAACAGGCTGTTCCCGAAAGGCTTCTTGCAGGCCGCACACACGAAGCAGGTGGTGTGCCAGGTCTGTCTCAGGGCGTGCATCACTTCCTGGGGACCCAGGGCGAGCTCAGGCCACAGTGGTGCCCGTGCAGAGGGCACCCCAGGCGGGGCAGGAGGGCAGGAAGCAGGCGGCCCTCTCTGCTTAGGAACGGTCGCTTCCTCCCCCAGCAGCCACGCAGCAGCCTCCCGGCTCCTGGGGGACCCACAGCCCGGGCAGGGGTGGCGGGGAAGGACAGGGGGCCAGGGGCACCGCCGCTCACCCCCATGATCTTGGCGTGGCACTTGGCACACATCGGGGCGAAGAATTGCTCGTAGCACCGCTCGCAGTACACGTTGTTCTGCTCCTCCACGAAGCACACGTCCGCCAGCGAGGTCTTGCAGTAGGCACAGTTGAACTCCTCCGGGTGCCAGGAGCGGCCCATGGCCACCAGGAAAGGGCCCCTGGGTGGGCGGGAATGGCGGGGGCTCAGGAGACCCCCAGCTCCTGGAACCCCGGCAACACGCTTCCTTTCACCCAGGAACTAACGGCATCTAACCTCAGAGAGGCACCACGCGGAAAGGCACCCTCATCTGACCACCGTCAGAGGACAGAACCCAGAACTTGCTGGACCTGGTGGCCCATGCCTGTCACCCTAGCGCTCTGGAGGCTGAGGCAGGAGGACCACCATAAATTCAGAGCCAGCCTGCTGGGCTGCATACTGAGCTGAAGGTCAGTCTGTGCTGTATAGTGAAACTGTCTCAAAAATCCAAAAGAGCCGGGCCTGGTGATGCACACCTGTAATCTCAGCACTAGGGAGGCTGAGGCAGGAAAAGCACCTCAAGTTCAAGGCCAGCCTGAACTACGCAGCAAGAGCCTGCCTAAAAAACCAAAAAACGGAAGCAACTCAATCACGCGCTGTAGGGACCTGGTACAGACCTGATGGAATCCAAGTGACCACTGCTAACAACAAGGACAGGGAAGACCAGGCTGACGCCAGCACTGGCCGGGTGATTCCTCCAGGCCAGAGGCAATTCAAGAACAGATTTGGGGCTGTTAACTGTACTTAATCCTTGCAGGGGTCCTGGGGGTAGGCAGGACAGGGCCCGTGTTCGGGAAAAGAAAGGAGGCACAGATGACCACGCAGCTCCTAAAAGTGCTACACCCAGGACACAAAACCCAGGACCAGCTCCAGATTGGGACTCTGGGACGGACCACGATGGAGGCTTTCCTGATTTTTTAAGTTTGCTTGCGATACTGGCATTTTTTTCCACCAAACAACATCCCCAGCCCGTTTTTTAAATTTTGTTTTGTTCTTTTGGTTTTTGAGACAAGTTTTACTGTGTAGTCCAGGCTGGCCTTGAACTTGGGCAACCCTCCTGCCTCAGCCTGCGATCACAGGCGGGCAGCACCACATGCCCCGTCCGCATTTATTTTTAATTTTGAGATGGTTCTCACTGAGTCACTAAATTGCACAGCGTGGGCTGGAACTCGTAGCCCTCCTGTCTCAGGCCCCCAGAGGGCTAGGTTTGTAAATCCTCACCACCTCCACCGGGAAGCTTGTCACGTTCTAATTTTTAGTTTTCCGCATTTCCCAGTTCTCCACTAACAAGGCTGCTTTACTGTTCAGTGAGAGTGTACCCGTCACATACGTAAGCTCACCGCGCACACAATCACGCTTTTGTACCCGACCCAGCACCATCCCGAGCGCTGCTTCCCGGCGGGCGGCATGAAGTGACTTGTTCCCTGCTCGGGCAGTGCCCACCCCTGCCTGGGTGGCACAGGGCTGCCTTCAGAAAGCCCCGGAGCACAGCCGGGTCAAAGCAGCACAGTCAGCTGGCTTTCGGCACGCCCATCAGCCCACTGCGATGACCGCGGTTCCCAGAGCCCGGCCCTGGCCCCGGGGAGCTCCGGGCCCGCACCCACTTACCTCCTGGCACCCCCCGGCCCTGGGGACACAGCTGTGGTGCACAGACAGCTGGGGGTTGGAGAAGGGCAGACCCAACCCTGCGGCAGTGCGGGCCAGAGGCTGCCCGCGCCCTCCTGACCCCGGCTCAGGGCTGCACCAGGGTTCCCAGGGACCCACCGGATGACACTGTTGCAGTGGCCACACAGCGGCGTCCGACTGCTGGCCGGGAAGCGCTCAGCTCTCTGCACGGTGCCCCGGGCTGGGGTCGGGGGAGCAGCAGGGCCATAGCCTGGGGCTCCCCGGGGCAGGGTCTGCTTGCTGATGGACGTGGTGCTCTTGCTGGGGGCGAACTTCTGAGAAAAGCTGTCATCTGTCACCCACGGGGGGCGGCTGGCAGACTCCGCTGGGCCCCCGCTGTAGGCTGGTGAGGGTGCCAGGTTGTAGGTAGGAGCGGGGGAGGGGGTGTAGGTGGGGGCGGGGGAGGGGGTGTAGGTGGGGGCGGGGGAGGGGGTGTAGGTGGGGGCGGGGGAGGGGGTGTAGGGAGCTGGACTGTAATTGGCCCCTGGGGAAGGGCTGTAGGTAGCCACAGGCACTGTAACCAAAAACACCCAAGGAAAACGTCAGGTATTTGCTCCCCACCCCCAGGCCAGCCCAAGCCACAAAAGGTGGCTTTGATGTCAGTCCATCGCCAGCCCAGTTTCCAGGGGCTCAAGTGTCTGAGCCTCTGGGGCCCAGAGCCTGGACACCTGCGCGGGGCTGGGTAGGTGCAGCCCCAAACCCTGGCAGCCCTTGCCGAAGGGGCAGAGGCCTGGGGTGCCAGCCTGGCCTGCACCCGAGGATGGTGAGCAGGCCTGGACATGGTCCAGCCTTGGGGGCAGAGCAGACAGCCAAGCTGTGGGGTCCATCTTCCCCTTCCCCTCCCTCCTGCCCCCTTTTCTTTCTTTTTGTGTTTCTTTTCTTTTTTTTTTTTTTTTTTTTTTTGAGGAAGGGTCTCACTGTGCAGCCCAGGCTGGCCTGGAACTCACAGTGATCCTCCTGCTTCAGCCTCCCAAATGCTGGGATCACAGGTGCATGCAGGACACCTGGTTTGCTTTCTTTTTTCTTTCTTTCTTTCTTTCTTTCTTTCTTTCTTTCTTTCTTTCTTTCTTTCTTTTCCTTCCTTCCTTTCCTTCTTCCTGTTTTTGTTTATTGAGACAGGGTCTCATTGTGTAGCCCAGGTTGGCCTTGAGTTTGAGGCCATCCTCTTGCCTCAGCCTACTGGCTACTGGAATCACAGGGATGCACACCGTGCCTGGCTACAGCTCCTTTCCTGAAACACAGCGTGGGAGCCAGGCATGGTCACACATGCCTGGAATCCCAGCACTCAGGAGGCTGAGGCAGGAGGATCGCCTAACCACACAGTAAGACCCTATCTCAAATATAAAAACAGAAACTGAAAGCCAGCCTGGCTTTGTAGCGGGGGATATTTCTACCTCAGTTTGACAGGGATGGGGGTCTTGGAGGAGCCACTTAGAGCCAACCTAGCTGTGATGCAGTCCAGGTCTAGAGGGGGCCCCCTGCTCCCCAACACCTTCTTGGGACCAGCTGACAATATGTCGTCCTAAATAGCAGTGCCCACAGAGCACGGGCACAGATAACAGAAGGCGCTGCCCATTTCCAGAACCCCTGTCACTGCCAGACAAGGACAGGGCAGTGCAGCTGCTTCCCCAGAGCCCTTTCAGCCCAAACCCCCAAAAATCTATATTTCACAGAAAGGGCCAAGGCAAAGGGATTGAGAGCTAAGACTGTCAGATACAAGGACCCACTTTCCACAACAAGTGTATTCTCTACATACTGCAGACAAGGAAAAAGAAAATAAAACCACGGCTCTAAATGAACCGATGCAAGCCAGGCATGAAACGGTGGTGCTCACCCATAACCCCAGCACTTGGGAGGGTAGGGCAGGGGAATGGGCACAGGTTTGATACCAGCCTAGACTACATAATGAATTCATCAGCGTGAACCATATAGCAAGACTTTGTCTCAAAACAAAACCAACCAAAATAAAAACAAAACCAAAAATAACCCAAGAAACCAACAACAGAAACAGTAAAGAATAGCTGTCCTGCCAGGCATGGTGGTACAAGCCTGTCTTCCTAGCACTCGAGAGGCTGAGACAGGAGGATCGCTGTGAGTTCAAGGCCATCCTGAGATACTGAGTTTAAGGCCAGCCTGCACTAAACAGGGAAACTGTCCCAAACAATGCAAATATAGATGTCTGATAATGTTGACTGATTACGTGATAAAATGGTTAGAAATCTCACTTCGAAAATTCCACACTCATTAAGATGATAATTGAACTTTAAATAAAACCTTGGAATGACTCATCAAAAACAACAAAAATTTTTTTTTTTTTGCAACAGGATCACTCCACGCAGTTCTGGCTGACTCTGAACACACTATGTCGCCCAGGCTAGCCTCCAACTCACAGCGATCCTCCTGCCTCAGCCTCCCAAGCGCTGCCGGCAGAAACAGTTTAGCAGTTGAGTTAAGTTGCACCAGGGTTCCCAGGGACCCACCGGATGACACTGGTGCAGTGGCCAGTTCAACAGTTGAGTTAATCAACTTTGCATATTTATGTATTTGGTCTGAAAACCTTTTAGGCTATAAATGCATTAGAGTTTCTTCATTTGCATAAAGAAATCAGCCCTTAGCACTATCAGACAAACAGTTTACTGAACTTTAAAAAATACAGCGACATTGTTGTTGCTTTCTGCTGGGTGGCCTTGGCACCCAGCGCCCATCTGCCTGCGGTCCCCTGGGTCTGTGGCTTGTCCTCTCCACCACCCTCCTTAGCTGGGCTGGCCGCCCTTCCGTGTCTTTCCCACCCGGAGCCCTGGACATCGCAGGTGGCTGTGGTCATGACCTCGGGTCTGCACCGCCCGTTCCCAGAGCTCCAGCCCTGCTGGGCCAGGCCCCAGACAGACACAGCCGCAGGGTGGCGGGGTAGGCGTAGGACCTGGGTGACCCAGCCCGGCCCAGCCTGCAGGACTTGGGCTCACAGAGAGGCCACTTCTCCCTGCAGCATCTCCCTCCCACTAGGGAAGGTGGACACACCTAGCAGGTCCGGGTGAGACTCCACAGCCTTTCCCTGCACACCCAGGCCATCTCCGTAGAGAACAGGAGCCCAGTCTCCGGGCAGCCCTGGGACACCGGGTCACCGAGGGGTCATGGGGCTCCTGGAAGAGGCACAGCCACCCGACATGAGGTGTCAGGCCAGGGTGTGGCTCAGTGGCAGGGCAGGTGGCTGGCATTGTGGCTCTGGTTCAACCCTGGCCCCACACGAATCGGAGTCCTGGCTCCCGTCTCAGTTCTGCCCCCGAGGCTGTGTGCCCCTCAGCCCCTCTGGGCCTCGCTGTCCTCAGTTAAAATCCTAATGACAAAGCCGGGCAAGGTGGGTGCTCGGCTGTGACCCCAGCACCCAGTGTGTCCCTGAAGGCAGATAAGGATGGAAAAAGGGGGTCCCCAGGTGGCTAGCATCAGTAGGAGAGGGGAGGGACAGGGAACTTGGGCAGCGCCTCCTCCTGGGCCCTGTGTGCCTCAGGGCATGGGCTGGCAGGGTCCTGCCCGAGGCACGCACATAGGACGGTGCTGTGAATCTCTCCAACGACCTCCTGTAGCTCCCGGGTCCCCACAAACAGGACACCCAAGGGTAACTGGGGGCATTAGGGACACAGAGAGGACAGGCAGAGCTCGGCAGTGGCCAGGTCCAGTGCAGCCATGTGTCACTAGCTTCTGCTATGGTTTCTGGTTTGTTTTTTCCTGCGGCTCTGCGTAGAGGCGTAAGGAGAAAGACTCTCACGGAATCGCCCAGCCCTGGGGGTCCCCCAAGTGCGGGCAGTCTGAACCCAGAAGTGCTGCTCAGTGCCAGCACAGCCAGGATGCTGGAGACTCAGGACAGTACCTCACGAATAGCCAGTTTGTATCAAGCATATGTTTTTCGTTTTGTTTTTGTTTTTGTTTTGTCTTTTTCCTTTTTATCGGTACCGGGGATCGAACTCACGACTGCCTGCTTGCAAGGCAGGCGCTTATGCCGCTGAGCTAAATCCCCAGCCCCCTCAAGTATATGTTGAAAAAAAATTTTTTTGATCTGGAGCTGGCCTGGGACTCCTGGACTCCAGTGGGCCTCCTGTCTTCTGTACTACCTTTCTGAAGAGCATGTGCCACCTTGACCAGCTCTGAAACGTTTTGAATATATTGTTTTTAAAAAGTATTAAAACTAAGTCAGGGGTGGTGGTGCATGCCTGTGACCAAGGCATTCCAGGAGGCCGAGGCAGGAGGCTTGCAAATTCAGACCCGGAATGGAGAACTGAGTGACTTGTAGAGAGCCTGTCTCAAAATAAAAAATAAAGAAAACAGCGGGAGGAGAGGGTGTTGGAGACGCAGCTCAGTGCAAAGGCTCTGGCCTCAATTCGCCCTGCCACACATATGCCAAGTATGTATGTGTATATGTATATGCACGTGTATTATGCATGTGTATATGCACGTGTATATGCACGTTAATATGCATATGTGTATACGCATACGTGTATATGTATATGTTCATGTATAAAAATTTCTTCTGCTTTGTTTCATTCTAAACATGTGGCTACCAAAACCGTTTTCTCTCACAAGACGCTGCCCCCTAGTCAAATCGCGTCTCGGGCACTGAAGCAGCCGCCTCTCGCGCAGTGCAGTGGGGCTTGGGGGTGCTCCCCTCCTCTTAATCTCCACCCTCCCTTCCCCTCCCCCTCCCGCCCCAGAGCTGCGCCCCCGAAGGGGTCGCAGCGGCAGGTGGCAGCGGGACCCTAGCTCCGGCCCGGGCTGCGCCCGGGAGAAGGGACCCCTCCCTGGGCGCCCCGCATCCCGGCCCGGGGGCAGGCGGCGGCCCTTCCTGCGGGAGGGCACCGAGCCCGTCCAAATTAGAAGGTGACATTTCGGCCCTAATTGGAGAGCTCAGGAGGCTCCTATCGCGCCGGCGGCCCGGGACGTGTCATTAGCAAGGTGACCAGTGACTCACGCCGGCCGGGCCGACGTGGCTGTGCCTTCCCCGACCCCGTCTGCGCCCCCGCCTGCGCCCCAGGTGTTCCGGGCTCCTCGCCGTCAGCCGCGGCCCGGGCCCGGGATCCCACGGGCGCGCCCTCCCCGGAAGGGACGCACAAGCGCCCCCTGTCGGGCTCCGCTCTGCAGTTTATGCGGGCGCCGGGCTGGGGAAGGCGTGGGGCGCCCCCTAGTGGGCGCGTGGGGCCGCGGAACCGGACCGGGGGCGGGGCCGGGGCAGGGCAGGTGGGGGCGTGGCCGGGGCGGGCAGGCAGGGCGTGGACGGGAACCGGGTGGAACCTGGGAGGGGCGGGGCCGGTGGGGCCGGTGGGGCGGGGCCGGGCGTGGTGGGCGGGGAACTGGGAGGAGCCTAGAGGGGTCTGAGAGGGACGGGGGCCGGGCTGGGCGGGGAGTTCGCGGGGCGTGGCGGGCGGGGAACTGGGAGGAGCCTGGGAGGGGCGGGGCCGCCCAGGAAGCCGCCCAGGATCCGCTTCGCCTGCGCTCCCGCCTGGCACAGTCGGGTCCCTAACCGGTCCGCAGCCGGGTCTAGACGTCTGACGGGCCATGTCCCCGCCCCCGGCTGGGCATCGGACCCAGGCGCCTCCTCGCGGTGTACAGCCCCGGCCCTTTTGTTCCCTCATTACAGACAGGGTCTCGGTTAGCCTGGCCAGACCAAATTCCGATCCTCCTGCCTCGGCCTCCCCCAGGGCTGGGATTACAGGCTGCACTGCCGCGCCGCCTCGCCTCGTGTGTCCGCTTCGTCACCCGCGGCTGCTCGGCCAGCTTGCGCGCTTGCAGGACCCCGAGGAAACCTCCCTGTCCCCTGCCTGCCCCTCAGTGACCTGCCCGGTTCTTTCCCAAAGGAGCCTGCAACTTCCTCCCTCTTCCGTGCGAAATTGGCTTGGGGGGGAGATGTTGGTAAACCGGGAAGCTTACCTCCCGGTTTGCAGGTGGGGAAAACTTGTATGCTCCACTCAATTTTGCTGTAACCCTAAAACTATAAATATATGGTGGGGGGACCTGTCTCACCAGCCCTGTCTGGCCTTAAACTCGCAGAGAGGCCCTGCTTCAGCCACAGGTGTGCATCACCACACCTGGCTAAAACTGCTCTTAAAACAAAAAGAGAATCGAAATCTTTTGTGTATGATAATTTTGGGGGGAAATATTTAGATCACGACTATAAATACAAAATTATTACATTTTGCATAATTCAAGGTGGCTGTAAAGAAAAGCAGGCTGCAGGCACAATACTTGAAGTGGCCTCCCACCCTGCGCGCCCTTCCACGCACCAAGACCTCCCTGAGCTGGGCACAGGCTGGCAGGCAAACCCCGGGCCTTTCGGTGGGTGGGTGTCACTGAGGGGACCCCAGGCCATGTGGTCGAGAGGCTGGCACCGCCCTGCTGCGCTGTGACAGGTAGGCGAAGGGCCAGGCACAGGGGAACCGCGGGGGAACCGCTCCCAGACCTGTACCCGGAGCCCTCCCGCTCCCAGCTTGAGCCCGGATCTCTCCGGCCTGCACCCCACTACCCCACAGCTCACCTGGCTGGTAGACAGAGGGCCGGATGCTCGCAGTGGTGACCACGCGGGGCTTGGGCACAGGGGCTGCCGGACCCTCGCTGTAGCCGGTGTGGGGGGCCGGGGCCGGAGAGGTGGTGGCTTTGGAGCTGTAGGCCGAGGCCTGGGGCCTGGAACAGAGGGGAAAGGTTACAGCAAGGACGGCTCCGGGGTGCTGGAGCCCCAGCCGAGGGCTTCGGGAGGAGGAACCGGAGGAGCCCTTGGGGAGCTGCGTGGGGCAGGGAGCGGCTCCTCTGGAGATGGAGGAAGCTTCCACCAGGCCAGACAGCAGAAAAGTCACCTCGTCCAGGGGAGACACAGCTGGGCTCCCTCCTTGCCCTTCCTGGTATCGGGGTGGGGTGGGGGCAGCCAGATGCCAATGGGGAGCCCTACCCCCACTCCCCACAGAGTTCCTGTCCCCTCCTCCCACTGGGGTGGCTGGGTGTCAGGCAAGGGGACCAAGAGATGGAGAAAAGGAGAGAAGGTATCCTAGGTCATGGCCCCAGGAGAGCCAGACTCAACCTCTGCCCTGGTCACAGAGCTCACATGATCTTGTCTTGTGACAAGATCCCAAACTGCTTTTCTCACTTATAGACAAGGAACACCTTACAGCAAATGCAGGCTGCTGTGTCCCATCCTAAGGGGAACACGTGTCTGCAGTCAGGATAGATGGGTTCTTGGTGGGGTGCTGGGGAAGGGGACCCCAGGAACCCCCCTGTCCCAGCTACAGCTTCCCGAGTCCCTTCCATCTGCTCCCCAGGCCCCAGGCCTGTCTCTGCCTGCTGGGCAGAGCTGCAGGGCGAGGCCATCCTTTCTCGGGGTCCTGGAGGGGACCAGGATGGGCCCAGACTAGGCAAAGGCAGAGGGGTCCTCGCCCTGGGGTAGGCACAGTCGTCCTGCCTGTGCACCGAGGTCACAGCTGAGCCGGCCATGTGTCCCCTCCCCCGACCTTGCCCGGCCCTGTGACATCCCTGTGCCCAGCAGCGGAGCCTCTCGTGGAAGAGGAAGGGGCCACAGGTGGCAGGGCAGAGCAGGAGCCCCGGCTCCACGTCACCTGGTGTGGGGACAGGAAGTGAACACTGCTGGGTTGGCTGTGTGTTCACCTCCTTTGGGGTCCCCACACCTCCCAGCCCACATGCAAGCAGAGGAGGCTCAGTGTGTAGCCCGTCAACTCCTACAGCTGCCCGAGTCCTGTGATCCTTTCAAGGCTCTCCCCAGGTCACTCCTGTTCCCCCAGGACCAAGGAGGAGCCAGGGCTTGTGCAGGCAGGTAGGTGCTGTCCTAGCCCTGTCCATCTTTTTTTTTTTTTTTTTGAGACAGGGTCTCATCTCATTATGGATTTCACGCTGGCCTCGAACTCAGCAACCCTCCTGCCTCAGCCTCCTGAGCGCCGGGATTACAGGCATGATGCACGCCCAGCAGCCCCATCCCTCTTATGAAGGCATAGGGAAGGAAGGGTCCCCGTGTGGGGTTCCCCCCAGATCAGGAGGCTGTGGTCAGCAGGGCTGGGGGAGGCCTCAGGGCCCACGGCTATAGCATCCAGTGCAACCTTCCATTCCCTCCCCCCGGCACTGCCTGGTGGGGAGCAGGGCCCACACTGGAGGCTTTGTGTGGAGGGGCACAGCTTGCCCACCCTGCACGGGAAACCCGGTTTGATTGTGGGGCCGGGGTCTTTGAACTGAGCTTCATTCCCAGCCTTTTTTTTTTAAACTTTTTATTTTAAGGCTGGGGTGCACTGAGCTGCTAAATGGCCCCCAGGTTGGGTTTGAATTTGTCCTGGGATGACAGGTGTGCACCACCACCGCACCTGGCTTTACTACTGTGGCTGGAGATGGGCTGGGCAAGGCCGGGCTTGGGGACAGGGGACGTACTGCAAAGACCGGGCAGAGCCTCCTAGTCTCAGCCTGCACCCCACACCTCTGCATCCCGACCTGGAGTCTGGGAAAGCTGGACTCTGCTCCAAACACCAACTGGGCAGCTCCAGGAAGCCCAGGGAGAGACAGCAAGGCCAGCCCACTGCAGAGTGACCTGTCCAGCCTGTCCCTCCACCTCCTGCACTCCCCGCCCTGGCCTGGCCTCCCGGAACTGGACACTTGTGTGTTTTGGATGCATTTCACCCAGTGCCGCCCCATCTTAAAGGAAGAGGACCCTGCGGTTTGGAGCAGTCAAGGCACTGTCCCAGTCCACGACCGGAAGTTGGGGAGCAGAGCCTGAAATGCAGGTTACAGATATCCCCGAGATATCTAGCCTTTCCGTGGGGAGGGGAGAAGGGGAGGTGGACAAGCGAGTGCCCAGAAGCTGACCCAGTCTCACCCCCTTCCACACCCAGCTCAGTGTCCCCAGCCCGTGTGGCTTCCTCCTCCTTTAAGTGACCTCCAGGGACAGGGACTTTCCGCCCAGAGCCCTTTGCTACCTAATTCTGTGCCCCTGTGATTTTTACCTTCACTAGAGAAGTCCCTGAGGGCGGGCGAGGTCCCTGGACCCCATCCCCTGGGCCATTACCTGGGGCCATCCTCGGGGCTCAAGCCGGGGGCTGTGGCGGAGGCGGTGGCAGCTCTGGCAGCAGCGGTGGCCAGGGGTGGCGAGGCCGTGCCGGCAGAGGCGGCAGTAGGCGGCTGGGCAGAAGCGGGCAGCAGCGGGGAGGCGGCCTGGCTGGTGCACACTGGAGCATGCTCAATGGGGGTGCTGACGGGGCGGGACCGAGAGAGACAGCAGGTCAGGGGTGCGGTCCTGCCAGGCCACCCTTCCAGGGCAGATGTGGGGCCCGCGCCCAGGCCCTGCAAATTCAGCAGGCACCGCCGGGGGCGTGTCCTCCGGAGCTGGACAGAACTCATTGTGGTGTGTGGGGAGGTCCTCTACGACATTGTTCTTGGCTGCTTTGTTTTGTTTTCTTTTCTGTCTTTTGGAGACAGGGTCTCACTATGCAGTTCAGGCTGGCCTCAAGCTCACTTTGTAGCCCAGGCCCGTCTCGAGCTCGCAGTGATCCTCCTGCCTCAGCCTCCAAGGAGCTCAACAACATTGTTCCCCCTGAGGAAGGTTTTCCCACACTTCCTAATTTTTCTTTCTCAGCAAAACACAGCACAGTGCAGGTGTAGACTGAATTATCAAATGAGTTCCTTCCCATCCTGTTCTCTTTCCCTTTCCCTACGGGGAAGACCTGGGGTCAGGGGCTCAGGCTCCCAGTGGAGTCAAGACACAGAGAGAAGCCGGCCATGGCGCAGACCTTAAGGGGGCGATGCGGTGGTGGGGGCGGGGGTCCCAGGACGAGACACCTGAGCCTCCAGGGAGCCCAGGACCTAAGAAGGGCATGTGGCTGGGCGGCCTGGGGACCACAGAGTTCCCCAAGCACTGACGGTGGTGGACGCAGCAAGGAAGAGCAGAGGTGACCAACCAGACGAGGCCCCCCCTGAAGTCACCAGTGCAGTTCACTCAGGCACCTTGTGCCCCACCCTGCCTGGGGTCCTGTGACCCCCCAATCCCAGCCCTTGGGAAGACTGGAGGAGCTTTCTACTACCTGCAAAACAGGGCAGAGGATAACATTTAAATCATAGGAAAGCAAAGAAATTCTTGTTTTTTTCTTTGGGTGGGGGGGGTGGACTTGAGGCAGGGTCTTCCTGTGCAGTTCAGGGCCACTTACTATGTAGCCCGGGCTCGCCTTGAACTGGAGGTGATCCTCCTGCCTCAGCCTCCCGAGTGCTGGGATTACAGGCATGTGACACCACGCCTGACAGAGAATGCGCTTTCTTTTTTCTTTTTCTTCCTTTCTCCCTCCCTCCTTCCTTCCTTCTTTCCTCCCTTTGTTTTTTGATTAGACCTCACTGTGTGTTTCCCACGCTAGTCTTGAATTTGTGGGCTCAAGTGACTGTCCTGCCTCAGCCTCCTCTCATAACTGGAATTTGCGGGTGTGCACCACTGCGCCCATCATTCTTTGCTTTTTAAGTTGGCGTTGATCTTTGTACTTGCAACACAGAGACAGATTAAGTCAACTCCTGTAACTAGAAGTAGCTTTTCCCTCTCGCGCGTGATTCACGTGTGCCCTTGTACTGCATTCTCGAAGTTCTGTCTTCATACCTCTGATGTGTGTGTTATCCACTCTGCGTGATGACGCAGAGAGCTCCCTCGGGCTAAGGCTCTCCCATCCACCCATGGGTGCCCATTGTCAGCCTCAGGTCTGGCGTCCCGTCCTCCACCGCTGCCAGGAAGCACCTGGAAGCTTCTGCCTCGTCTGCCCAGGCCCCCGGGCTTAGAGGCCCAGCCTGGCCCTGGCTTTCCCACAAGACACTGGCCACTGCCCTCTGCAGAAAGCCAGTGCGCTGCAGCGCTGGGCCGTCCCTGGGGCCCTGCTCAGCAGTGGCCAGCACGGGAAGGCCGGGCTGGCATGAGACCAGAGCGAGAAAATGTCCAGGCCGGGCAAGCGGGAGGCTGGCTTTGGCGGGACTGGCTCACCCGCAGCTCTCCCAACCATGGCTGCAAAGGAACCAGACTTCAGGGCCCCAGGGGAATTCCTTGCTGCCCTCAGGGCTGGAACCAAGGTCACCACCGAGGCACATGGACATGCATGTGAGCCTGCAGCCTGGGTGTCTGCAGGGCGGCACCCTATCTGGGACCCTGGTCTGCAGGGTCGTGGAAGGCAGCAAAGGGTTTCCTGGGGAGCGTGGTTCTCCCGCCAGGTCAGGAGCTGAATGAAGTTCTCACGAATGCCCAGAAGGGGGCACCGGAGAGCAGGCGCTGCCCAGGCCTCACACAGTGTGCACCCTGCCTGGCCTAGGATCCCACCGCTGCCCCCTGCCTTGGCCAGATTCACTTTACTTGTGTTTGGTGTTGGGGATTGGGCCCAGGACCCCACAGCTGCTGAGCACCTGCTGGCCACAGAGCCCCACCCCCACCCCACGATCGCATCTGAGCAAAAAGCAAAGCCAAGCCAACCGGACTGGGGGTTCACAGCCCAGGAGCGGGTGCGATGGGACACAGCACATCTGGCTATGGTCGGTAGGTCACTGCTGCCCTCTACCAGCGTGGCTCAGGCTGTCGTGCGCCCCTGCCGTGCCCTTGCTCCAGGGTGCTGGCCTTTGGTGGTGGCAATGGTGGGGGTCAGCGGGTGTGGTGACTGAGGACAGAGACATTGTTTGGTGAGGACGGGCTGGCACTGGGAGAGGTGCTCAGGTAGGCGTGGGTGATTGGTGATGATGGCGAGGATGGCGTGGTTGGTACCACTTGTGTGGGCCACGGTAATCCCTGTCGATTGATGATGGCCGGGTGCCAACCCGGCAGCTTGGTGTGAAATGTTCACGGTACCACCTGCCAGGCCAGCGCTCTGCTCAGCAGCTCTGTCCCTCCGCTGCGGAGCCAGGGCTATTCAGACAGCGTGGTGCACGCAGATGACAGCCCACCGGCGTGTGGCCTCTGCTTGTTTGGTTTGACCTCAGAACATGCTCAAAACGCCCTAACCCAATACTCTAGATGCAGACACCAACTCTGCTGGGCATCGCCTCCTCCACCCCTCCAGGCCAGGCCAGGCCAGGCCAGCCACGCCTGCCCATCTGCATCACGGTCACACTGCTTCCCAGTCCTCCCCGCCCCGGTCCCGTCCTCTCCTGATGATCAAACACACACATTCAGCCCGGAGCCCCAGATCTTCCAGTCAGATGAACCCCGAGAGATCTGCTGCGCGTCGAGGTCCCAGCAGCGTGGTCCCTGTCTGATTTCTTAGCATGCACAACACCCAGATGTCTCTCCACTTAGAGAGGGCTCTGCATGCACCCTGCCTGGGTCACACAGGGCACTGCACACAGGGGACTGGGTTGCTCAGGAAGCCAGAGCCAGAAGGCAAGCCATAGACCCCCAGAGCTTTAACTGAGCGGCTCAGAGAAGACACCCGAGGGCTGGGGACGGGTCCTAGGCCCAGCCAACGCCAGGGCACTGGCTGGGCTCCTCGGCCAGCCTCAGCTGCCTGCCACTTGGGGCTTCTCTCCTAGCCTCCCTTGGGTCTTGCAGCTTCTTCCTCAAAAGTCAGCTAAATGTGGTGTATTCTGGGCCACCTAGAGGAATGAAGGTGCCCTTTCCTCCCAGCGTCCACCTGGCCCTGGCAACTGACGGTCGGAGGTAGGAATGGGGGGAGGCGGAGGAGCAATAGCTGGGCGGGAGCGATAGCTTCCCCGCCACCCTGCAGGGGAGAGCCAAGGTCCCCAGAGATGGGGCAAAAGGCTGTGACCACAGAGGGCACTGGGGACAGGCAGGACCGTCCAGCCTGAGGAGCAGGGAGCCTGAGGCCTGGGCCCCGGCATCGGCCTTCCTTTGCCAAGTGCTGCTGCCTTCGTGGCCCCAGTCTGGGGTTCTCCCATGGGGGGTGGGCTGCTGGACAGACAGGCGGGCAGAACACTGGTTCTGCAAGGACAGAGCCAAGACCTGCTAGGCCCTTCCCTCCCCCCTCCATGAAGCCCGGCCACCCCGAGCTGCCCTGTGCGCTGCCCAGACCTGGGCAAGGGGCCTGTAGGTGTCTCTGTGGGGTCAGAGAGGGCGGCTCAGCTCTCTGGTTGTAGCTGATGGGTGACAGGGGTAGGGGTCCTGCTGTGTCCTCGTAAGAGACTCAGGCCGCCCATGGGCCCACATGTGAGCTCCACACCATCTTCCCCGACCCTGCGCTGAGTCCTTCAGGCCAGGCACAGGCCTGTAGGTAGGAAAGCGGCCCTGAGCCGAGCTGCCCGGGCCACACTGTGGGTCCCTGTGCCCCTGGGTCCCTGCCACGGCCCTCACAGCCCCTCCTGGGGACTCACGCAGGTGCAGCACTCTGGCAGGGTTGATGCACATCACAGCCTCTTTATTTTGCAGAAGCACGCTCATATGTACAGGGAGGGCAGGGCAGCGTGCGGCACAGGGGCAGGCGCCCGCCTGTCTCACTGCAGCTGGAGGGTCAGTCTCAGCCTGCTCCAGCCAGCCCTTTGCTTCCTGTGCCCTGGATCCAGGGGTGGCCAGGAGCCTGCAGGTCCTGGAACCCTGATCTGGGCGGCTCACTTGGGGACCACAGAAGAGGGAGGTGGTGAGTTCTGGTTCCCTCGGCTCTATTTGGGCAGCGGGCGCCCGCCACGTCTTCTCTGGGCTACGACTGAGGGCCTGTGCCGGGTAGCAGGGGTGGCTGGGGTGTCGAGGGTGGCCCTGGGGCCGGGGCGGGCGGAGGGTGCAGTTGGCGACCAGAGGTGCCCCCAGCACATCACACATCATCAGGCATCACCGTGGGGCTCACATGCCAGATCGGTGTGGGGGAGGAGGGGGTCCACCTGCGGGGCGGGGGCTCCACGCGGCCTTTTAGCTTTTAACGTTAAGGATTTGGGCCGAGAGGCCATGGTGCCAGTTGCGCAATTTGGCAAAACGTGGGCTGTTACGTTCCGTTTCAAACCTTTCCCTGTGGCACAGAGAGAGAGAGAGACAGAGACAGAGAGAGACAGAGACAGAGGGAGACAGAGGAGAGGAGAGGGAGAGAGAGAGAGAGAGAGAGAGAGAGAGAGAGAGAGAGGGGTTAGGGGACGTGTCCACCATTCCCCTGGCAGAAGCTGGGGTGGGAGGAGAAGTCTGCTCACCCTTGGGGCACGTCTAGGTGGCCAGGCCCACTAGGGGCGGGGCCTTGGAACAGGACAGAGGGACTGAAGTCCCTGTCTGAAGGGGACATGGAAGGGATCTGGCTGTGGGCC